CAATAATTACTCAGCTTCTTCGCAATCATTCATCAGGACTGCCAATTTATCATATTACAAAAACTTCTTATCTTCTGGGGATAGTAGATATTAAGCCAACTATTTGAATTCCTAGAATTCAAAACCTAAACTCACTATGATATCTTAGAAGGCATTTAGTAGGATCTAACCTCTTCCTTTTTTATCAAATATCTCCAAGGTTTCATTATTCTCCCTTAAAGCATCTTTTAATCGAAAGACTGCTTTCATAATCGAAGGAGTTAATTACTTTGCAAATGTCTATGCAGTCTATTTATATTTATATTTTGTCTATTATTGCTCTGATATATCATTTTCTTAATGTGATATCTTTTACTTAAATTCATATAAGTTAATTGTGTTGTCTCCATTGGCATCCAATTTTGAAAACAAAGTTTCTACAATCTTTTAATCAACATCTCCTACTAATTACACAAGAAATTCAGCAAACTCTCTTAGTTCTAATTTTGTATTTCTATTTGCATCATACTTCTTAAACACCTACTCAGGCTTACTTTATTCGTATGCTAATTCTGTATTGATATCTGATAATAGTTTATTAGAGGCTTCATCAAGTTTCAAACCCTATTTTAATTTATGTAATGAGATGTTTTATTAATCCTATTGGATACTTGTTAAGAAATCTTAGAATTGATTATCGCCTGTGTCTAATTACATTTGTTTATTGACAAAATCTTGGAACTGCTTTTTTCGAATATATCCATCTCCCAAAGTGTCCAGATCCTCAATGTCTGCAAATGTGATTCTCTTCTTCTTCATCTATTTATTGAGCTACTCAAGAAACATAATAGCCTTATGTTGACTGTACCTATACTGCTCTATTTTTTTATCCTTATAATACAGAATGGCCTCAATGAGTAAATCCACATCAACTAATGACTTATCATGCGGTACTAAAAGATTGTTCAAGAGTTCTTCTTACTCTATTTCATAATCTCCTTTGTAAATTTCTAATTATCTGATTTTTTCTTTATATTATGTAATAGACATTCTTTAAAATGTGCTTTTAAAGTACTATCTAGGAGTTTATTCTCTTTCTTGTAATTATTTATAGATAAACTGTAATAGTTGTTTTTGAGGATCAAATTATTTTGCATTAAATTTTATTGACTTATGCATCGATTCTTCAGGATCATCAAATGCATTTTTCTTCTCTTGTTTCTATTCCTTCACTTCTATTTCTTGGAGTTACTTCCAATTTTATATTTTTAGATCTTTCCCCTTTTACACCATCGCATTAATAAATTGAGGGTACTCTATTTCATCTTTCACTCCGAAGATACTCATTAAAAATGTGAAATCTGAGTTCTTAAGACCATCATTTGCTTATTTAAAACCATTAAACAATTAGTTTTTAGTGATTATGCTGGCACTTTTTGTATTACTTCTTATTAGTTATGGCAACGTCATGGAAATACTGGCTAAACCATTGACAATTTCCTATAGAATTGATCTCACATCTTCATTGATTTATTCTTCAAAGAACACTCTTACATTTTCAAATGAAATAGTTTTCTTGTTTGTTGGATCCAAATGTTATATTAACTACTTTTCAATATCAGGAGAAGGGTGGATTTTAAGATCATTCAAAAACCTATGTATTTCTTCATGACTCAATTCTCCTCTTGATTTTGTGTCGTAATGCCTGAAGAATTATATAAAAATGTTGTGAATTTCTCTAATCCCCCTATACATCTTTATTTTTAAATCATTGAACCCCAACTATTATTAATTCATAGATTTTGTATCCTCACAAAATTACTCATAGTATATGATATTCTTCTTCTTAGGATCATATTTCTATTGAATAATTGGAATATCTTCAGCAGCCAAATTTATTTAGTTGTCTTTTAGTATTTAATCGAATTTTTCAAACTGCAGGTATCCTACTTATTCTGTGTCATTCTCTTTGAATTTTTCCAATAAATTAATTTGTTGTTCTTCAAGGTATTTATGCAATTCCTTCATCATCTCTGATAGTTCCTTCTCCTAATAGTCATTCAACTCTCCCAATTTGATAATCTCTTTTTAACTTTACACCCATTAAGATAAATCAATCTCGTCCTTTTTTGAATGGTCAAACTTTGCCAGAAATGCTGACTTCTCTTTTGCACTCACTTCAATCTTCAAATCTTGTAAAGCCTCCCAAAAGAATTCAGGTTTTATTCTCCGACTAACTGGTTATAATTAATATTTTGATAAGTATTATGTTGCTGTTTATGATTTTAATTATTTTGCTTTCTCCTTTAATTCTTCTAATAAGAGTTCTGGCTACGGTGCTATTATTGTTTCATCTGCAATTATAGCATTTTGAGAAAAAAAGTCTTGAACTAGATCTTCTACTTCTGACAATGGTGGTCGATTATTAGGGTTTTTTTCCAACATCTTCTCTATTAAATTAATGAAATGGTTGCCATATGCTTTCCTCACTATTTCTCTGATTTCAATCCCCTTTTAAGATTCGTGAACCTAAAAATCTCGAAACACTAATAATTCATCCATTTCTCTGAGTGATGCCATTTGCAAATATACCATTCCCAATTACCAGACATCGATTTTCTGGGGATCTCCTCCGAATTAGTCGGCCTGTCCAGTCCCTTATGAAAATCTTTGACTTTGGTTTTTTTTTAAAGTGGCTATTGATTCAGGAGGTAAGTAATTTTCGTTATTCTCATTTGAAAATTAATTGAAATCTGTAATCACACAGCCTCCGTCTTCGTCCTCAAATAAATTCGAAGGCTTGATTCTGCAATGATAAAATCGTTGAGTCTCAGTTTTTTTGGATTTATGTATTTTATCCAACCAGTTTGTAAATTCGTCAACGTATTTTTGCATCACATTCATGGGAATGAACTTTCCCTATCTTCTATGCAATTTAATTAAATCACCCATCGAATGTTTAAATTTCTTATAAACGAAGCTCACCCCTTGTTTATCCTCCCAATATCCTTCTGGTATATAGATGCCTGGTTTTGATAATCGAATTTTCATTTAATCGATTTCATCAATCAATTCTTTTTATGTCTTCTTTTGAGGAACGACCTGCTTGCAGACCCATTGCTCTAAACCCTTCTTATATAGTCCTGTTTTTCCATTAATTGGATAAATAATTTAAAACTCTCCCTATTGAAGTTTTTTCAATTAAGACATTAATATAATATATAATCGTAAATTTTTGAATTTCTAGTGAAATTCTCAACACACAGAAGGTTCCTGGACAAAATATGGGATTAAGATACTGTAAAAAACCATAAAGCCAAAACTCTATTCCGAATGCCTATTTACAAAAAATGGGAACTAACTGAATGTTGAAATATCTTATATGTATATAAATAAAGATCGCAAAATTAATACGATCTTTGAATCTTATTAGTAAAATATATCTGAATAAACCATTTTGAGAATTGTTTTAATAATTATTCTGTTAATTTTATGATACGTGAGAGAAACAATTATAAAAATATTTAAAACCATTTCGTGTCTGAACGTTCACTTCAAAAATGCATTAGGAAATTAATTAATCAGAGTAATTAATTGATATCCCTTTGAATTGATGAAGTGAACATTGTGGTTTTGTGGAATTCGAATATGTTGATCAGGCTTAATCATTAATAGTAATGGGCGTGTCTCATTTCTTCGAACGGGTTTCGTATTGTCCCTTTGATCCATCATGGTTTAAGATTATAATCATTATAAATATCATTTAAGAGGCGCAGTATTTATTTATTGGGGTTACTGTAATTGATTATTGTATTTTTTAATATATTAAAAGATGAACCACAGGTAACATCAATCTCAACAGCAAATACACACGACAACCAAAAAATCTCATTTTTATACTCAATCGTATTGCTACCTAACATCTCTTTTAGGCACAAAAGTGACCCAAACATCTCACATGAACGAGACTAAATGTTTTCAAATATAAAATCAATCATTCAAAAGAATGAAACTATTCTCTCGACAAGATTAGAGAGTACTCCAATAATGAGAAAAAAAAATGAAACTTCAAAAACTAGTTGCACCTGCAATATATAATGAAAAATAGATTTTATTTGAAATTCTTATATGTCAGCATCTACTGAGTCTTGAGACATAATGAATTTCTAAACAATTATATATATAATTATAGATTAATATTTAATATTTTCTGAAAAACTGTTAATTAATTAAACATATAACAAATGAGTCTAAGTATTCGATTAGTCAAGACCCCCAATGCTGCTTGGGAAAAACCTAAATAAATCCTAGATGAAGAGTCCCTTATACAAAGATAGGCTGCATATGACGAGAAAGTCAAAGAATAAATATTTAATTCCGAAGCCAATCCAATCGAGATCAAAGAGGATGAAGAAGAGGAAGAAGATGATGTTGAAGACATTGATGATTATGCAGATGACCTATAAACTCATGATTTATGAGTAATAAATATGAATCACTTTTTAATTGCCAATCTCTTTCAATTTTAGAAATTTCAAACCATTTTTATTGTCAAATTGAATAATTTTCTATTTTCAAATATAAAATTAATATACTATTTAAAATACAGAGATAATTCGCGCATGAAGAATTCTTCTCATAAGCTATCTATTCTATTGTCAGTTTTGTCTTCCATTCCATCCTCTCCTGAAAACCATTCAAGCTCATAGTTCTTTAACAGGATGCTCAAACTATAATTAGTAAGCTAATTATTTTTGACATCATATTATACTGGCCCATCAATTTTGGTTATGGATTAAAGTAAGATGAATTATTAAAGAATTCTTAGGTATAGACCATTGAAATCATATGAATGAATGTTTANATATTTAAAACCATTTCGTGTCTGAACGTTCACTTCAAAAATGCATTAGGAAATTAATTAATCAGAGTAATTAATTGATATCCCTTTGAATTGATGAAGTGAACATTGTGGTTTTGTGGAATTCGAATATGTTGATCAGGCTTAATCATTAATAGTAATGGGCGTGTCTCATTTCTTCGAACGGGTTTCGTATTGTCCCTTTGATCCATCATGGTTTAAGATTATAATCATTATAAATATCATTTAAGAGGCGCAGTATTTATTTATTGGGGTTACTGTAATTGATTATTGTATTTTTTAATATATTAAAAGATGAACCACAGGTAACATCAATCTCAACAGCAAATACACACGACAACCAAAAAATCTCATTTTTATACTCAATCGTATTGCTACCTAACATCTCTTTTAGGCACAAAAGTGACCCAAACATCTCACATGAACGAGACTAAATGTTTTCAAATATAAAATCAATCATTCAAAAGAATGAAACTATTCTCTCGACAAGATTAGAGAGTACTCCAATAATGAGAAAAAAAAATGAAACTTCAAAAACTAGTTGCACCTGCAATATATAATGAAAAATAGATTTTATTTGAAATTCTTATATGTCAGCATCTACTGAGTCTTGAGACATAATGAATTTCTAAACAATTATATATATAATTATAGATTAATATTTAATATTTTCTGAAAAACTGTTAATTAATTAAACATATAACAAATGAGTCTAAGTATTCGATTAGTCAAGACCCCCAATGCTGCTTGGGAAAAACCTAAATAAATCCTAGATGAAGAGTCCCTTATACAAAGATAGGCTGCATATGACGAGAAAGTCAAAGAATAAATATTTAATTCCGAAGCCAATCCAATCGAGATCAAAGAGGATGAAGAAGAGGAAGAAGATGATGTTGAAGACATTGATGATTATGCAGATGACCTATAAACTCATGATTTATGAGTAATAAATATGAATCACTTTTTAATTGCCAATCTCTTTCAATTTTAGAAATTTCAAACCATTTTTATTGTCAAATTGAATAATTTTCTATTTTCAAATATAAAATTAATATACTATTTAAAATACAGAGATAATTCGCGCATGAAGAATTCTTCTCATAAGCTATCTATTCTATTGTCAGTTTTGTCTTCCATTCCATCCTCTCCTGAAAACCATTCAAGCTCATAGTTCTTTAACAGGATGCTCAAACTATAATTAGTAAGCTAATTATTTTTGACATCATATTATACTGGCCCATCAATTTTGGTTATGGATTAAAGTAAGATGAATTATTAAAGAATTCTTAGGTATAGACCATTGAAATCATATGAATGAATGTTTACAGATAAATCAAGAAGAAAATCCTAACCTTTTAAGTTTATTCGACGTCAGTGTTAAAAATAATTTTTGATTTCCTCTAACATTTCTCATTATTCATTTTTTTATGATTTCATTTACAAATAAACATTGCAATTACTTACTAAATTTTGATGTAAAAATTGAGAATAATCAAATAATTAATTTTTGTCTGAATTCTTTATTTAATGTTTATCAGTATATTGAAAATCAAAGGTGAATTTGAATGAGGAATAATTCAATTTAGAGTGCAATGCTCTTGACGTAAATATTTATTCAGTAAAAAGTATATTAATAATCATAATTATGAATGCTATTAGTTCTGCGGAGAATAATCTTTTATGGAATGGAGAGAATATATATGACGGTATTTGAATCAAAGCATAATTAAAGAGTTTTCAAGGCCATTTGGTTTGCACTTGCAATTCTGCCAGCTTGAGGATCTATAAAAAAATACATACGATGACATAAATGCATTATCAAGTCCAACGATCAATAGGAAGGAAGTGGAGCATAAAAGTGTGCAGCGATCATCTTAGGGGTCTGTATTTAGATTTTTGAAAATATTGCAAAAAAAAACACAATAATTGAAGGAGAACAGAAATAAGCTTTCCTTCTTTCAAAAGATTTATTAGGAGAAAATTCTGCATTCGGAATATAGCAAACAACAATAAACTTAAAGCAAATATGTTTTTGATCCAACAAATCTTTTAGCTTTAGTTTTTTAATTTCTTAAATGTTTAGTTATATTTTTATTACTTGTGATTATAACCTATTTTTGGAGCTTTGATGATATGAGACATTTGGTTGATAACAATAACTATTTCTATATCGTGATAGTATTGTTAATAGACATATCATTGCAATTCAATTTGGCAATAATAATTCGAGGACAAGTAATAATTAATAAGAAAATTAGATAATTTATGATCGAATAATCATATTTAAAAAGTACATTTCAAGACAATTTTTTGAAGACAGTATTTTTTTGGTTTCCTTGGTATTAATCATTCACACATCCTAGTTAATTTTTGTAATAATATTTTACATTAATGGTATTGGAATGCTGGTTAAAATCATAAGAAAACTTGAGGATACATTTGATCTGAGTGTTAAAACAACAGAACTCTTGAAATTGTGGAAATTGCTCTTTTTCATAAACCTGTTGGCTCATTTTATCGCATGCATTTGGCATTATATTGGACTGAATACAATTGATGCCAATAATAATTGGTTGGATTCTAAACAGATCAGAGACGAATCTAATTTTATAAAATACATATACTCCTTTTATTGGTCAGTTGTTACAATGGTGACAGTTGGATATGGTGACATCACTCCGCAAAATTATATAGAAATGATTTTATGTGTAATAATAATGTTTCTATCCTGTGGAGTGTATGCTTATTCATTGAATACGATAGGACAAATAATCTCGATCTTGAATCATGAATCAGACAGATTAGAGAGGAGTTTTAAAACCCTAAATAAGTATTTTCGATAGCACAACATTAAGGATGAATTGCAAAGTAGAATCAAAAACTATTTGGAGTACAAATTAAAAGAAGAAGAAAAATCCAATTAAAGTGTATAATCCCCATAATAATCATAGGTTTACAAGATCCTAGATTAACTGTCCAATCATCTTCGATTTAAAATCATATCTGAAATCTATTAGAGCATGCTTTAAAAATGTCCTCTATTGCAAACAAACTTCTCAAAATCCACTCTATAGAATTCAACTAATTTACTTGAAACCTTGAATTATGAACCGGATGACATAATCATTAATTAGTATACTGAGAACGAGAATGCTCTCTATTTTATAGATTAAGGTACTGTAGAAATATGTGAACAAAGAACTAAGACTTAGTTAATGGAATTCACATCAGGAGAGTCTTTTGGAGAATACGAATTCTTCACTAATTCTTAGGCTGCATTCACGTATAAGTGCAAGAGTCATACGAGAGTGTTCAAGCTATCACGATCCAAATTATTAGAAATTCTCAATAAGGAAGACTTTGAAATCTTTCATTAGATTAAACATTCTTTTGAATTCAATATTCCTGTGAAACACGCCTAGTGTATCATATGCCATCAGAATGATCATTTCGTTCATAGATGTAAGTTGTTGTATTATATTCCTGACATTTCTAAAATGGTCATCAGATAACAAAATTTCAAGCAGAGGAGGGAATTTAAGCAAAGAAGAATGCAAAGAGAAAATACCTTTTCTCTTTTAGCTGTATCTACTTCGTTTATATTTTTAGTAAATCTAAGAAAAACAATTTGAATATTATCAACAATATATTTAGGAATATTCCTAGAAGGAACTTCTAGATGATGAAAATGTAATAATTGGGGCTGATTCTCAAATTACTTCATTGATGTACAATACGCTGAAAGCTTCTGAGATTTAAATTCAATAAAATCAAATGGATTATGGAAAGGATATGCTCAATAAAAATAGTCCAAGGAAGTTGAATTCTCTAAATGTCAAGACAAAATAATCTTTACCTGAAACAGGCCTGCAAATAGAGACACAAAACAAACTGAAGAAATCTACTCTCAAAATACAAGACACGGTCTAAAATTAAACAATGGTTTTTGATAGGATGAAGGACTTTAATTAGTATTTTAGTGAGAACAATTATGAATTACAAATTCGTAAATACAATTAGAACTTTATTGAACGAGGCTTTCTATCTTCAATTAAGAAAAGAACAGGGAGGGCAATGAGATTTATTTAAATATGAATTAACATATATATTATTTAAACTTTAGGAGACTTCCAATATGCTGAGCACAATTTGAGAATCTAGTGACTGGTTCTGGTTGAATGTTGATGGGAACGACGAATTTAAATGATTTAAATAATAGTGAATTTTAACTAGTAACAATTATGAATTAATATGTATTTATTGTATCCAACAGTATTGGTTCGTAATTTGCGAGAGAACGAGGGATGAAAATAACCAGGGATTGGTAGGAGGGGGTTTTGAGAAGGGGCAGTTCGAAAGCATTCGCATTTAATATTTAATTGTCGGTAGAGTCACAGAAATATTGGAAATACGATAATAGATTTGGGGCGGAGAACCAGACGAATGAGTATTATATGATATTAAGAATTTGGTTTATAATATTTCTCCAGTTTAATAAGGTGGATACCCCCCCAGAATTTATGAGCGGAATTTTACATAAATAAATTAAAAAAAATGAATAGTTCTTCAAGAGCTAAAGTGTTTGTACATAGTGACCAAAAATGGGAGGACATTTGCGTAGGGTATGTTTAAATTGTGCATACAGATGGTGCTACTTATATCAGAGGGATAACGGAAAAATAATAGAAGTAATGTAACAATATAGTGACACATTAACATTTGAATGTCAACAAGGAGGATTGGTGCATTAATCTGAAAGTGAATCCAGAAATCATCTATGAGCAGCAGGGCGATAATATAATCTCTTGGGAGGAAACCGAGTTGAAGTTGTAAATAGCAATCAGTTTTATCGACAACAAGTACTCATAGGAGTTTTGGAATTAATTGTAAAATAGTAGAAGACATTTCCGATACGATGATCCAGAATCAACGTATCCTATAATACCATCTCAATAGAATTTGGAGGCAGTCTAACTATGGATCAGTGATAATCCTGAACTCATAATATAGAAACTCACCACTGATCCCAACAACACTTTTCTGGAGGCCTTAGCAAAGATATTCTAAGACTCCGAGGCACAACAACATTTGCATACTTTGGAACAACTGCATTATGTAATACGGAATTTAAGTATTTATATTTGATGTATCACCTTAGTATATTTAAAAAACGAGAATGTCCTGAAGAAGTTGCTGAGCGACAAATTTTACATGACATTATTTGGGATCATGGAATGTATAACATAATATCTATAATTTAGACCATTCCGAGAACAAGGGGCCTCAAAGAGTCTCATACAGAAATTTCTTGAGTCAGGAATTGAAATTCCACCAAATAACTGATTTGGACCTTGAAATAATGGAGAAAATTCACTTTAACTATCGATTGTCATACTTGAAGGAGAGTGTCATGGCCTATTATCTCTATCTGGAGGATCCCATCTACAACCAATTCAATTTTTACATCAATTCGAACAACCAGTCGATATTGGAGAGTTTACTGTTGAATCACTAGTCCTAATTCGAGCAATACCTGCTCGGTTTTCTGGATAATTTGGAGTTGAACTGCAAGTTTATCAATGAATTCTTCTTGTCCTTTAAACAGTTCCTCCAAATTCAATCATTGAATGAAGCATTTGTGACTTGCATAGGCAAAACCGACTTATTGAGGGCATTATTTTCGAAGACTCTAGAAGTACAACAACAATAATTGTGCTTCACAACATTGTAATTGACAATAATGATAGGAAATTCAAATTCGCAATACTTCTAAGAATTTTTGAAATAAAATCAGTAACTCTTTTGGAAAAGCATGGAAACCCTGCTTTTCAGTAACATGACTACTCTTCATAGTATGATTATAGATATAATCCAGTACATATGCTAAAATTAAGCGATACTCGGGTAAGGGATAGATTGGTTGATGAAATGTTTTGAGCAGAAATTGAATGCATCGGCTGCTGCTTCCTTATAGGAGATAGTCTAATTGATTTGTCAACAATAAAAAACCTTTTCGTAAGAATTGATAGCGCTTTCAATTCATATCTTAAACATTTTGAGTCAGTAATAAAAACTAGCAATTAAGGATAAATTCATGATAATGCCAGCCTTGAAGCATTTTAAATATTTGTGCACGTCTAGTTGTTCATAAATCATCAAGCCTTTCTGCGAGCCCTTCATTCAAATAACAGCGAGTGGAAAGATACATGGGATTTTGGAAGGCCAAATCAGAGACATAATCAAATACATTAAGAATAATGCCACGCTTAGTCATTACATTGTATGATTGTTTATTTATGAGTTAGGTAATTGAAGTGAAGAATCTGAATCTCTAGGATCACCCCCTGTATCAAAAGTTGGTCCAGCAATATTCCTATGTGCAAATAGAGGATGGGTCCAAATCAAGGATGCAAATGGAGGATTTGAAGTACTACGAGAACGACGATTCGGAAGAATAGGCTCCTCAATAATAGACTGTTGAGGTGATAAGGGAGGTTTACAGATTGGATTTCAGTAAGATTGTGAGACAAAGAAATGAGGATGACGAGGATGAGGATGAAGCGAAGGTGAGGGAAACGAAACCAAAGGGAATTGTATTTGGGGAAAATTGTTTTAAAAGAATAAAAACGGATGATGATGATGATGAGAATTGATTTTTATCTTATTACTCAATATAATAACCCCAATATTTATGTATATTCATGTTTTGATTTTTGAGAGTATGTAATTTTTGAGTCCTGCCTATCCTCCGGGTAAGAGTGCAGCCATTAAATATAGAAGTGCCAAAATCTACACAATCATAATTCCTAGGGTTGTCAAATATCCAATCTTAAACACTCCTGTGTAGAGGCCACTTAGTAAAGCAATGAAGTATATTACAGTTCCAGCTTGACTAAAGATGGTCTTGTATTCAGTAACTTAGATTATGGCTATTAGAATGAGCAATGATCCCAATGAGAACAATAGCACAAACGGATAGGGGTTGACCAGCAAAAAGCCCGAAAAAGGAAAGGAAACGATCAGCAGAATGAGGCCAGTCAAGAAGAATAATAGGAATCGACCCCAAGTATAGATTTTCTCTTGGATCTTGAACCCACTTTCCTCATCTTGATAATTGTTCATTAATTTTAATATAATTGGACATACTAAATTGCTACATCTGAAAACTCTGTGATAAGTCCGTGGATATTCATCTTGACTGCTTGATAGTAAATGTCTTTGGCGATGGTTGCATTGAACATCTTTTGAGTTCCACTGGCATCATCTTGGAAAGTCCAAGCGTAAACCATCATTTAATTGTCTTTGATGAGTTGAACTTCTGGTTGAATTTATTAAGTCTTTTGATTCCAAACTGATGCTAAATCAACTCCAATGATGTTGGCATACTTTGTGGCTTCAGCATAGAATGTCGATGGCTGATTCTGTAATCCAGTCATCAAAAACACTCTTGGAAGATCTGTCAATTCTCTAGTTTCCTTTACAGCATTCATGTCGAAACTCATGATAACAATGGGAACAACACTCTTGCAATCTTTAATGGTCCCAATGCCGAATTTTGATAATTCACTGATTACATATTAAACAATTGATACTCCTGCATATTCTAAATGATACTACGTCATATTACAACATTCATACTTCGTAATCTTTTATTTCCAAGAGTATTCCCACTGGCTTTTTATTAGGGTTTCTTTCATTAGCAGTGCGGATGTTGAAATCTTTGACCTATTGTAAGACCTCCCATAAGGTTGGATATGTGAATAGACCATCAAACATCTTGGGTCTTGTGGAACCCCTGACTTAATTGATTCCTACTCGTTTGAGTTCAGCGAGGGAGAAATCAATCAACCACCAATCGTCTCTAACCACTCCATTTATTGTTCTTTTTCTTTGTCTGGATGAAAATTCTGGGAATGTTTTAATATTGGAAACAGCAGTCATAAATGTATCATGTGCCACTATTACTATAAAATGGATATATTTCTTAATGCATACACTGCAATTCCTTATTGAGTACAACATCCAATTCAATGAAGTCGGTTCCTTGGAACATAGCACCTTCAAATGATTATGCCGTATTCTCTATCAAAATGTGAGGTTGGTAATACCTGGGAAGATGGAGCAAAGTCCTCGATGGGCAGCAATTTTGGGTCGGTCGGATTACGAAATGTAATCGGCTGGACTGATACTTGAGAAGACAATTGGGATCAAAAATAATAGGTAATGCATGAATAAATTATATTAATGAAAGTATAACTAAATTCATAACCACGATTAAATAAGAGATTATAGGTTATGATTTAAGCCAAGGAAGTATATCTTTCGAGTGACATCCCGTGTCAGATTCGAGGATGTGCATTTTGCAATCAAGAATCCGATATTCAATTGGAGAATCCCATATTCATGTTGGATAATGAGATCTTGGAATAATATATAGATTTGATCGAATAGTCCAACATTAACAACATAGTGGTACTGCAATCGTAAGTGGCCTATTTCAGAAAAAGGTAACAGCAATCCTAGTATGCACAATAAATGATCAATCTGATTGAATCCAATTTCTCAAAGAAAATTTATGTTTATCAGGATGAGTTTTCAATTCACACACAAAATGGGAATCCATTGATCTTATTGGCTCAATGGTACAATTCCCATAGACAATTCTTGAAAACAGAACTGGATTTGTGTTTGCTGACCCAAAATTATTAGATGCATCAACAATGCAAAAACTTGAACATCAAGTGTTTCACCATCTAGGATTACGTGAAGTTATACGAAAACAACGATTTGCTTGATTTTTTGGGAATGGATGAGGAATTCGAATAGAACTAGGAGGCCATCAACAATCAATTCCCCTATATTGCAGTGGAAGAATGTGTTCAGCAAATAAAGCAAGGATTACTATTTGAAGGGAGAATCTCTATAGATAGGAACAATATAAAGTAGGCTAGGATATTTGTAAAGCAATTCCAATTGGAAATAAAAATAAATCAATAGAACAGAGTATTGCATGGAGATAGAGTGGCTGTTGAATTGTTGCCTGAAGATCAATGGGAACAATAGCAGAAACAAATATAGATAAAATTTGATGAGGATGACGACGACGATGGTAATAATAATACACATACAAATGACACCAGTCATGAGATAATGTCAACAAGTCATTTGCAAAGTTTGTTCAGGAAAGTGTAGTCGCAAAATCTAATTCCTTATGGAAAGGTTGTTTGTGTGTTGTAGAGAACGGAGAGACATTTTTGTGGTCATGTAGAGAACAATATATTTGTGCCAGCTGATGGTAGATATCCAAGTTTCATTCTTAAACATTCAAAATATGATACATTATAGGATAAGAAGATCCAGGTTCAATTTGTAGATTGGCCAGTTTGGAGTGACAAACCATTGTGTAAATTGAAGAAGGTTTTGGGGAAGGCAGGAGATATGTTCATTGAAGGAAATGTGATCTTGTTAGAACATCAAGTGGAAATAAGGGAATTCTCGCATCAAGTGCTGGCTTGTTTACCAATCGAGGGAGTATGAATTTAATATTAACAATTTAAGGATAAATATAGAATCTCAGAGTAGGAGATCAAGAGAAGAATGGATCTGAGAGACATTTTGGTATGCTCAATAGATCCAGTTGGATGTAAGGACATCGATGATACATTGCATTGCAGGAGATTAGAGAACAATTTATATGAAGTTGGTGTTCATATTGCAGATGTGTCTCATTTTGTCAAGCCAGACACTGCAATTGACAAGGAAGCTGCTCACAGATGCACAACAGTCTATTTAGTAGATAGGAGAACAGACATGTTACCCAAATTATTGACAGAGAATCTGTGTTCATTGGTTAGTAATGTCGATAGATTGGCATTCTCAGTAATCTGGATAATGGATGATCAAGCAAATATCAAGGATGTCAAATTTGGTAAAAGTGTAATTAGATCTATTGCCTCGTTGCATTATTAATAAGCTTAGGAAATGATTGATAATCCAAATGACAACAGTCAATTAACACAAAGCATACGACTCTTGAATATGTTGGCCAAGAAGTTGAAATAACTTAGAATGGATTAAGGAGCCTTGTCATTAGCTAGCAATCAAGTTAAGTTTTCATTCGATGATGAAACTCACAACCCCAGCGATGTCAGAATGTATCAATTACATGACACCAACTCCCTTGTTGAAGAGTTCATGCTTTTGGCCAATTGTTCTGTTGCCAATCAAATCTTATAAAGATTCCCTTCCATTTCAGTGCTTCGTAGACATCAAGAACCGAAGATGAAATAATTAAAAGAACTCCAAATCTTAATGAATGACTTAGGTACATGATATTAATTCATAGTAACTAGGATATCAATTTACATTTGATACATCCAAATTGCTTAGTGAGTCCCTTGACTAAATTCAAAGACCCAATGATTCCTTCTTCAACAAACTTATTCGTATGATTACTACGAGATGCATGAATGAAGTAATGTGAGTCTCTTTATTCATAGGCTCTATATGTGTGCACTGCTGACGTCGATTATCCAGAACTCTATCATTATGGTTTGGCTGCAGAACTCTACACGCATTTCACGTCTCCAATCAGAAGATATGCTGATGTCCTAGTTCATAGATTATTGGCTGCCTCCATTGATCTGGAGTCACTCCCTCCAAATATGTCAAATAAAATTAGAATGACCAGAATTTGTGATAAACTAAATATGAGACATAGAATGGCCAGATTTGCAAGCAGAGCCTCCTCAGATTATCACACTTATCTGTTCTTTAAAAATAGACCTCAGCAAATTGACCAAGCAATCATCACCGGAATCTTGACTGACAAAGTCACTGTCATGATTCCCAGGTATGTTTTGGAAGGAACAATCGAGGCTCAAATCATAGATAGAATGAACATCATCATCTAAGGAACACGTTACAGAATTTTCGATTACATCCAAGTTGAGATCTCCGTTGAATTGCATAGTTTCCACAAAAAAATCCACATGAAGTATATCAAAAATAATAATTGAAATTAACCTTCCACTTTCTTCTATGTTTTCCCTTTCCAATAATTATTCGAATGAAACATTTATTATTTTATATGGATTTTTAGGCTAAACTAAAATTGAGCATCTTAATATTATTTGTGCCAGTAGGTTTTATTGCTTTACTGCAAATAATAACATTAAATGTAATCTTTATCACCAACTTCTCCGATTAAGCCAACCAATTGTCATTTGCAATCTACAATCAAACAACCAGAACCACCCTTAGATTCGCCCATAAACTACAAACCATTAATCAAGGTCCCAAGGCCAATGTCGCCTTTATTCTCTAAGATTTGATGATGGCCAATCAAGATTTGGAGTCTCCTGCTAGTCTAGCGCAAATTTAGACGTTCCTTCATCCCTTAATCAGAAGAGGCAATATTGAGAACTTTAAAGTTATTTGCAAGGATTCCTTTGAATACTCGATGCACCAAATAGGAAGCCAATTCGAATCCTGGAATTCCAGCAGTTAGATTTCAGCCGATCTATATTAGCAGTACTTTCGATTCATTTTAAACTACAATAATAACTATAGCTGTAATATCCAATTATATTTATCTATCGTAAATTTGGTTGGCTAAACCTATAGATATGCCAGTAGTGAACTTTGGGAGAATCAAATGAACTACTACATGATTAATGAGCAATTTTATTAATTCAGATATAATGAATTCTTTCCTATTGAAAGCAGCAAATTAGAAGAATATTATGGCCAATTCATGGAACACCTACTGGCTCAATAAGATTTTGATGAATTCCACTGTATACGCTAAGATACACTCATCTAGTATTATTAGCAAAAGTATTTCATATATGGTTGGTTCAACTCAATCCAAAAACAACACACCATCTGTGAACAATAACAAATCTCAAAATTATTAGCAATCAAGATTTTTGATATTGAAAAATTCAAATAACTAGCAGGCTCCTCTCAGACTGAATCAGATCACAATGTCTCACTCATCATAGCTCAGGCTGTTGTGAGTTTAACCTTTCTATTGTATGTCTGGACTATATCGATAAAGGTTGCCAATTCTTTCTGTCTTCCTCTTTAAAGATTGGCACTACGATTGCAAAATCCACTGCAGCACAACTTCGACTCAATACCACTGGAGGCAGGTGAGTAAAATTGCAAGGAAATTAGTAGTCTACATAATAGCCTACAAATCTATCTCTACTATTATTAACTACTGCAATAATAACATTTCTACTCCGACCAAGATTAAGGATCACACTATTTAATGACCTTATCCTAGCTTAGTGAGGTGTACAAATATCACAAAAACAATTGGTAAGTTAGTGTTTGTGCAAATAACATTGCATAGATTCATCTAAAGAACAAGGGGTACATTGAAGCACTCAAGTTTCAAGTAAAATCGGTGATTCTGGGATTTGAAGAGTATACTAGTATAAAGTAGATTGAAAAAATACGAAAGCAATTGTTAAATAGTTAGAAGTCTATTCTAATACCGCTGAGGGAAAAACTAACACGATTTGTGATTAATAAATTAGCAGGTAGTACTTATATATTACATTCGGAACACTTGAATAGAAATAGATATCACTCTTTTATGCTACAAAACTCGAATAAATAGTCCGAAATTTAATAGTTTTAAGTAACTGAGAGATTGATTTTAATTAATTAGAAAAAATAAGAGAACTCTCTGGAAAAAATCATTTATCAACAACAATTAGAGTTAGAATAAGACCGATTTAAGGAAGAAAAGCGATTTTACAAGATAACCATACTGTTCAGGAAGTATACTTTCTGTAGAATGTTATATAAGTTCTGCATTAAAGAAGAGCCCCGCTTTCTTAATGAGGCTATTTGTTCATTGAAAGAATTATATGCGGAAATCTCGAATAAAAGCTACTCTGATAATCAATCAATAATAGGAATGAAAATATAGCTATTAATCATGAAGTTTAGCTGCTATTAAAAACTAAATTTGATAGCTAAGGCTAGAGAGGACTTGTATTCAATTAAAATACTCTATTAGCAATATGTTATGTCAGAGAAGTCGAACCTCGTTCTAAATGGATTCGACATATTTTAGTTGACATCCAAAGAGATTATTTAAAATGCTATTAGAAAATTGAAGATTTGTTTATTAATGAAGCATTAATAGTATTAATATGCTAGTGAAAAATGCATAAAGATTATCAAAAGAAATAGTTAGAACATACATAGATTGAATTCATTTGCTTATAAGACTCTATAAGGCATTTTTATGGAATTGAGTCTTAATCAGAATGTGTTATAAAAACTGTATCTAGACATAAACCCAAGAAAGTTTAAGATATTCTTCTTGATCGACTATTCATCTAAGGTTTCTTTAGAGTAAATCTAAGTATCACATTCCATATGCGCTTATATACTGTAAAAGTTGATAAATTTGAAAGAAGTAGGCTTATACATTTTTAATGACACATTGTATGAGATGCTATCAGCCTAACAATCTATCAAGTATAGGAAATTCTTGTTGAAGTAATTTGAGAGATTCTAAATTATGAAGGGAGGCGAATGTAAAGTCCTGGAAAGTCTTTACAGTCTATTAGAGTATAGGTTGAATCAATACGCTAAGCAAGGTGGGAATGATATGAAGCAATCGTAGAAATCTATTACAATTCAACGGGTATCATAAGAGTGTATGGGGATGGTGCAAAGTTTGTTTGTGTGTTCTCTGAGTTCTCAACTTGCGTGGATGAGGATTTATTGGAGAAGATACAGAGACACACTTAAAGGGAGGAGATAAATTTGGTTCTGTTTAACATAGCAAATTCAAATAGGAATCATGAGTAGGCGAAGAATCTTGCTCAGAAGATGAGTGCTTGTTATGTGGAGAGCGAGATGGAAACAATTAGATGGATTTCTCACTTGAATTAATCTTCAGTTCCAATCCACACGTAGGGATATGTGGAGTTCCTGTGAGATAATGAATTATATAATATTAAGAACGATTGTTTGGGATTAGTCGAAATGTTGTTGGTTTTTTTATTCTGGTTTAGTGATTTATAAATGAATACAAAATAATTAATTAGATGGATTATATTAAGTAAGATATGACGATAAATCATTCAAAATTGTTTTCTCTGTTGCTGCAAACTCATTTGTTAGAGCATTTCATTTTTGAACTAATCTTTAAGGACTTCAAATTTGGGTATCATTTATTTTTAGGAAGGGAGTGCTTAAAAAGTAACGAAGTTGGTGAAAACTTATTGATTTGGTTTGCTTTGCTCAGAATCCGAGTCAGAATCACTCAAACTTTCATTCATGTAACTAGCCAGAGGGTCTTTTCTGACAGAGAATTGCTTGGTGCTGTTTTGATTATACTATAAAGTTCCTCCGGAAGTCTCAGTGTTCCTTTTGATTAGGTCCTTTTTCTCGGAGCCCTTGGAGAGTCTGACTTCATTTTGAATTTCAATTGATTGTTGAGCTTATTGTTTACAAATGCTTCCCATTTTAATTTTAATAATATAATCAAAATAAAAGAATTCTTTTCTTTCTATCTCTTCGTTTGCACATTCCATACTTCACGTTTTTTTCTTGTTGCAGTCTGTTGAATTGATTTGGATCCATTTTCAATTGTTCATAATTTACATTTTCAATCCACACGATGGCTGACTTTAATTGAGTGAAACAATACCCGGCATGACTCATCATCCTCGATTTATTGATGAATAGTTCTATGAAACTGAATCTCATTATAAATTACTTGATATTGCTTTATAATCTGGTTGATTAGGCCAGGATCAGCACTCTGATGAAGGCTGGGAACACAGCATCTGCCGAGGCTGCCTCTTAATTGACCTAGGAGATGGTATCGGTAATGAGTTGAGTGGCCTTTAAGATGCAATCCAATTTATCAACTGAGTTCTTCTTCGTGTCAATTTGATTGATCACTAAATTTAAGATGGCACATATTACTTTAAGCAGCACATTCAAATTGTTGATCGATTTTGGATTTGATTTTGATACTCAGATGTTCGTCAGTAATCCATTCCAGAGTTTTGAACCGTATATTCAATTCGATGTCTCTGGCAGTTGGTTCTTTGGGATATAGTTTTTCATAGATTAATCTGGTGAGATATCTCTCCACAATGTCGTCGATTAGTGCATTACTGGGGAGACCATTGATTTCGATTGATTTCATGTAATCAGTCAATGCAGTGACTACTTCCGAATATCCAGAGTTGATGCCGTATTTGTCTGGCTAGGAAGTCTCCTTTAAACTATACGAACTCAACATGGCATCCCTTACTTCTGGCAATTTACAGAAGATGCGAACAAACTCACTCAAATCGTTGCAATGAAATTAACTCAATAATTCAACTCTGGGGATTTTAGTAGATTCGCATTAAATTAGGATTCTCAATGTTTTTGTGTCAAACATGCAATGAAAGCACTCTGATTGATTTTCCAACCAGATCTTGTTTGCATTCAAAGCTAGTGTATTTCTGGATTTGACTTTCTCTTGATTTGCAAACAATTTCCTGGTTGCAGGAGAGGAAATACAAAATTGAACCAATGCTCCACTAATTTGCTTTACAAATTCATCCTCATATGGTTGTGGGTTTTGTTCGAAAGTAGAATTAGCAATTTTCTATAAGAGGAGATAATCCTCGAGTTGTTATTATTTTTAGTCTGATTACTGCGTATAGGATTTGGTCATAAATTGCGCATAATCAAAGGAATCATCATCTTGGGCTTGATATTAGCCAGTGATCACACTCTGAATAACCCGGGGTTTCTGAGTAAATTGGATCGTAGATTGAACCAATTGGGATTGCTGGTCATCACTTATGTTGTGGGTGTCTTGAAACTACAATTAGAGGTCATCACTCTTGAGTCTAGGCAATTGCATGAATTAATCGTCTTCCTTTTGATCCATTTATTTATTATGATATAAATATTATTGTTGCTGGGAGTTGCCATCGCCAATAATTTAAGATTCAGAGCCAAGGGAACAATACCCAATCTTTGGAACATTTAAGCATCGACCTGCTATGGAGTAATGTTCGATGCTGGCAGTTCCGGCACAAGAGTCTACGTGTATTCGTGGAATTGCAGAGAGACTCAAACCATGCCCTACGTTTCCCTCACTGAGAAATCCATAGAGAAGAAGGTGAAGCCAGGAATATCATCCTTTGCTACTAAACTCAATGAAATACCTGCCTATCTGTAGCCATTAATTGATTTTGCACTCATCAACATCCCCAAATCCATGAGAGCCTACACTCCAATAATGTTAGGTGCCACTGCAGGTATGAGACTCTTGCCACTCCAACAACAAACTTAGATTATGAAGGAAGTCCAACGAGTCTTCCTCAAATCTGGATTGCTTTTCTTAAGTGAATAATGGGCGAGAGTGATTACTGGATAAGAAGAAGTATATAAATGTCAATAAAAGATAGGGTGCTTACATGTGGCTATCACTTAATTACCTTCTCCAGACCATGTCAGATTAAGAGTAGGTCACAACTATTGATTTGGGGGGGGCTTCTACGTAGATTTCTTTCAAACCCAAGGGGAAAATTGAGGACGGAGTGATGGATCTAATTATACCTAACTTGAATGAATATGAAATATTCAGTAGTAGTTATTTGCTTTATGGAATGGATCAAGCATTAATTCAAGTGCACAAATAGTTTTAGGACAATGACACATTTACTATCACTACTCCTTGCTATTTTAGTGGGTACGAGAACGTGTATGAGCACGATGCCAGATTCAAGGTTATCGGGTAAGGCAATTACTAGGAATGCAGGAGACTCATAAGACAGTATCTTAATAATGAGCCAGAGAATTGCCAACACTCCAATTGTGGGATTAATGGGCAATACTAGCCTAAAATTGATGGTGACATCATTTATGGCATCAGTGGAATTTAGAGTATGGTGAGTTTGTTCGGATTTGAAAATTACACTCTCACTCAGTATTCCAACAAGGTTGTTGATTTCACATCTTTGGTTTGGTCGGACATCGAACAAATACCTGAATACATTAGCAATCCCTACATCACCACGGATTACTTCTCAAGTATCTACGTCGATGAGTTGCTCTCATATGGTTATGGAATTGGCAAGGATCAATTACTGTATAGTCCTGATGAGATCAACCACATTTCACCTTCTTGGACAGTTGCTGCCATGTTCTATCAACTAGCCCAGATCCAGTGCCAATATGATAGTCCTGTGTGCATTCAACTTATTAAATGATTAATTTTAAAAACCATTTTAAACTAATACAAAATTATAATTTTATCATTTGGTAGGGTAGTAGTAGTCAAATTTTTCTTTTTTTCGACTCCTAATTCTAAGGATTTTGTAATTCTTAGGCTATTTGAACCGATTGATTAATCCAGTCGTTGAGCCAAGGGAATCTCTTGTAATTCAAGACTTGCTAGGAGAGGTTAACTAATGGATATGTACATTAATTTGATCGGATACTATCATTTCCATAATGAAAACTACATATTTTCTAATCTTCTATTAATTCTCATTCAATGCCAATTGCAGATATTGATCTAATGAAATCGGATGTTATATTAATACTTAGAAAGTTTGAGTAATCTTACTAATAGGAAGTATTTTGGAATAATTGCTTGACGAATGCATTATTCATTTTCTTGATTACTTTTTTCTCCTTTATTTGTTCCTTACTCTGAGTTTATCTTTGTTGCTTCATACTTTTACGAATAATAAACTTTATCATTTCTTCCCTTGTCTTCACAACCTATTGATAGATGATGCTAGATGCGTACTTGCAAGTATCTTGTGAAAATCTAAAAGAAGATTGATTTTAGTGCCTTTTTTTAAGTCCAAAAACGAAAAGTCTTTTAATAAGCAAAGATCTATTCTTTGGTTAGGTAGTTGAGATGTTTCATGAGGAAATCGATCATTTTATAGACTTCCTCGTGGAGTTATTCTCTGGTCAAACTGATTAATTAGTGTTGTTGGTTGAGGCTGAGTAATTTGCGCAGATGATGATTCTCTTCTGCCAAGACTTAGAGTGTGGAGTGGAAGTGCTTGATCTCGTTGGGAATGGAAGTGTAGTGCACTGGAATCGGGTACGGTTGAATGTACAATTATTGTTCCTCCTAAATGGCTGATGAGTTATTTTACTTGTTTGATAATTTAGTTTTCTTCTTCTTTCATTTTTTGTTATAAGGTTGAGTATTCTAAAAAACAAGTGAGAGATTAAATTAATTTAAAAATATTATTACATCTCATCATTATATAAACTATTATATATATTTTATTTAATTAAGCTATGCTCAAATGTCAAAGTCTTTAAAAGACCCTACTTAAATATCTGAAGACCTTTGAAAACCAATCATATTAGTCATGGAAATGGCACAACTACACTTAGTGGGCGGATCTTTCATTCAGGCCATTAATAATAATGTAGATAATATTTATCATCATTAAATTATTGATCATCGCCAATAACTAACTACTGTGGGTCATTTTTGGAGTTCAGATTTTAGTTCATTCAATCCTACTTTTATGTCTTCCCAAAATCATTTACAAAGAGTCCTATTTTTTGTAGCTAGTCCCCTTAATATAACAGGAATGCTTTTGCCTGCTTTGCTACTTCGCCTACAATGAAAGTTACCTCATGTTTTACACCACCATTTGCGTCATCTTCCAAAGCATGTATTCAACCATCTTATGGAAAGTGATCGCCATACTAATCTTTTTCATTCAAACTATCTTGCTTTTAGATCTATCCTCCTTTGAAGGACTCTACCTGACTGTCACTCTGCTGTTCATGCAAATCGTACGGAAAGAACTCCAGCAAATGCAGCACTTCCTCAATTTATAAGCATTATTTTTGATCATCGACTCCACACCCTAAGCTATGTGTATAGCCCATAAGGATAAGAATTGGTTACTCTACTCCAACAAAGTATTTGACAATTTAGCATATAAATTAGAGAATACAAATCAATCTGATACTGATTAATCTCCAGAAAAAACAGCAACTAACAACTCTACTAAAAATTAATTAACTTTTTTGTAAAATTTGTAATTAGATGAATTAAATAACAATCAAAAGTTTGTTTAATTTGATTTTGATGATGACGATTTATACTTCGATGATCAATACAAAATTAAGAATGTTACTTACAGCAAAGATAAGAATTCAATCTAATATTCTAAAGCCTTCTCTTTTGAAATACCAACAGATCGACCCAAAAATCATGTTCAATTTTAGAGGTTTTTCCAATCATTCAAAAATCCTGATGATGAATCCATCATCAAAAAAACCTTCACTTCTGATGTCACTATGAAAATCGAAGTCAACAACCCTCCCCAATTCCACTTGTTATCAGCAGGTAAGAAGAGTAGTCGTAAGAAATCCAACGTTCCAAATAAACAATCTAAACAAAGTAACTATATGACTCCGAGTCGAAAAGTATCCGCTGATTTCTTATTGAATAGTAAGGAAAATCGGAGTTCTGGCCACAAGCAATCTCTACTGGATCAGGAATTGAATTTGGTCAATAAGACAAAACCCGTTTATGTCCACAAAATGAAATTCTTAATTAACGTATTAGAAAATTGTAGAATCTTTGATAACGACGATGAGTTGTAAATATATTTCATTCATGAAGTCAATCAAATCTTATTAAGAGCAAAACTAAAAAAATTAGAATCAATCAAAAAGAACCTCTTGAGATCTATTTCTCATGAATTGCTCACCAATCTTAATGCAGTCTTCGGATTCATCAAACAAAGCTAGGACAGATTGCTAAATAAAGAGTCCTGTCATCTGCAATTGGAACAGGCTTTGAGTTACACAAAATTGCAACTCTATAAGATATATGATTTCTTTGATTACAGAGACATTCTAGAAGACAGTTTCCAATTGAAATCGGATAAATTTGATATCAATACAGTGATTTTAGAGTGTGTGGATTTGTTTAGAAATCAGATCGAAAGAAAATCCTTAGCAATCCATGTGGAATTACCCGAAACCTCTTACATAATTAGTGGAGATAGACAACGTTTGTGTTAAGTGCTCTTGAATTTGATTGGGAATTCTATTCGTTTCACTTACAAAGGAGGAATCACCATCATTGTTTAAAAGTAGGAATACATTGAGTCAATGGAAGGAATCGATGTACACTCAGCTAATTTACAGGAAACCAATTTGCTAGAAGTTTAGGTGAATGACACTGGCATCGGTATGACGGAGGGTGAGTTGAGCATCTTAAGAAAAAAGGTATTCCTTTTAATTAGAGTAGTTACATTTAACTGACGAGGATGAAAAGGTTTCTAAGCATTCAGTTGGCATAGGTTTGGGATTGTCTGTGAGCAAACAAATTATAAAGTTGATGGCTCCGAAAAATCAATACTATATTTCTGTCGATTCAAAAAAAGATGAAGGAACATGCTTCAATTTTCTATTGAAATACAATGAAGAATCGAATCTGAACACCAACTTCCTCTAAAGGTCAAACAATCACACAATTCCTCTTGTGGATGCTCAAAGTACGTAATAGGTTCGTGTGATGAACTATAATAAATGTAATAATCTTCAGATCACTGAGAAGTAGGGTTAATCAGAATTGTAATTAGATACAATGATAAATTCATGCAATTGCAAAATCGTCTTGATTGTTGATGACGAGGAGTTCAATGTGGATGTTCTTATACACATGGTCAAGCAATTGGGATTTGATACAGACTTTGCTTTCAATGGGAAGCAGGCCATTGAAAAAGTGCAAACCCAATTGCTCAAGAGGTGCAGTCAATAGAATTGTATAGGGTACAATTGCATCTTGATGGATATCAATATGCCTATGATGAGTGGATGGGAAACTGTGTAAAGAATTCGACAAATAGAAAATGAGATCCATCTCAGCAGAACCATTCCGGTGGTTGCAGTTACTGGTTTCTGTAGTATAAAAGACCAATAGAAAAGCATTAATGAAGGATTTAATAGTGTTTTGATTAAGCCTGCCACGAAGGAGAAGTTAATTGAAACTTTTAATCGTCTCAGTATCTGAATTTTATTCTTATATTTTTACTATTTAAGTTGTAAATTTTAGAAGTTAATTTAATATTCACAGCATTTATATTAATAAAATTAACTATGTCATCATTGGTGAAAAAGTCCAAGGATACTTACGATTTATTGATCAAGGTTTTGTTGATTGGGAATTCAGGAGTTGGGAAAACCCAAATATTGTTGAGATACACAGAGAATCAATTTAAAACTTCATTTCTGAGCACGATAGGTATTGTTTTAATCTTTTCAATCTATAAGGAATCGATTTTAAAATCAAAAAAATATCAGTGGATGAGAAGGTCATTAAAATGCAAATTTGGGACACCGCTGGTCAAGAGCGTTATTAAACTATTACTTAAACATATTACAAGGGAGCTATGGGAATCATACTAGTTTTCGCAGTGAATGATCAGGAATCCTTTCGTGACATTGAGAAATGGATGAATCAAATTAAATTACATGCAAGTGACAATATCATAAAAGTATTAATAGGTTAGTTTAGAATATTATTATGATATTTAGGAAACAAAACAGATCTCCCAGACAGATGCATCTCTTATGAGGACGCCCTCAACATGGCGTAAAAACATAACATACCTTACTTCGAAACAAGTGCAAAGGATGGAACCAACATTAATCAGACATTTTAATAAATTGCAAAACTCATTAAGGACTAGATTGAAAAGCTCCCCCAATAATCAGACAAACCTTTCAACAAGTTAAACCCTGCGAATCAAGATTAATAAAAATAAGATGATTCAGTGTGCTGTTGATTCATCTCTATTGATTTGTGATGTCCTAATTTTTCAATATATTATTCATGTTGTGATTACGTTATTCTCATTAATAATACTTCAACTCAATTTTAATTGCTTTAATTTCATTTTTAACTGCATTCTCTGCACTTTATTATTACTTCACATTTAATTTATTAACATGTAATTCCTAAGTTAAACTTAAAAATAAGTTAATGATAACCACTTACTAATTTGATGAATAAACATCATATTTAATAATTATTAAATTTCCATGCATAAACATAACAAATCCAATCAATAACCATAACACAAGGCAAAAATTACTGTTATTGGGAATATGGGAGTTGGCAAAACTTAACTAATAAGTAAGTTTTGTGACTCCCTCAATTCCAATCAGTATGTGACATCTCAAGATATACCCATAAACCTATTAAAAGGGAGAGATTTTCAATCAAAAACTATAGTTCTCCAAAATAAAAATTTCATGTTAAATCTCTAAGATACTTCCGGCGATAAGAAATTCCAGGTAGTTACAGAAGTTTTCATAAAAGGAGCAAATGCAATTATAATTGTGTTTGATCAACATAAACTCTCTACTTTCCAAGATGTCAAATATTGGATTGATTTGGTAAATAAAATCGACTCCAAAGTCCAACACAAGATTTTGATTGGTACCCTATTCAAATAGACTTAGGTAACAAGTGTGATTTGGAGAAATAATTTGAAGAAAATGAATTACAACAATTAATAAACGAGGAGAACCTAATATACTACGAAACATCAGTCAAGGAAAACATTAACGTTGAGGTCGTGATTTCCAGAATTGTGGAATTGGTTTCAGAAGATTACCCAACAAGTGATGAGATTTAACATTTGAGTTCAATCATTCTAGAAGAACATAATAAATCAAAAATACGAGATTCTTGTTGTATTAATTGTGTAATTATGTGATAACCAGGACATATATGCATGATTAAATCTATAAAATAATTATCGACCAAATCTATTAAGCTAGCTTGTTATTTAATAAAGATTCTAAATCTGCGCTCTCTCTCTATATAATCATTTCAAAAACATCCACCATTAACTTAATTGTAACCCATAACTTTGTTGGTTTTTTTGATATATCCTAATTGAAAGCATTAAAAACTACTTGGAAGGCTAAAGTTAACTTATTTTTTTGGATCAATATACATTATTCTATTTTTCTTGCGACCCTAAGATTCCTTTTCTAAATTTGATAATTTGTCAACTAATAATGAAATTTATTATAAAGCCACTTTTTCAGAACAAAGTATATTTAAAGTTCCATATTTGTAAAATCACCGTTGACAAAAATTCATTTTATTTCTCTTCAATTTCTAGAACCCTTTTAAGAACAGATTATTTTACCATAATAAACCAATAATTCCTTTGAAAATTACCTAACACCATTATTGATTATCCATAATTATTATTTATACTAATTTAATGGTTTAATATCTCTATCAGACTTGTTGATTATTATAAAAGGCAAAAAATTTTATGATTTAGTAAAAGATTAAATTAAGATTAAGTGAATGCTTGACATTCTTTAATATTTTTAGAATAAATATTAGAATTATGAGAATACTAATCTTGACTTTAATTCTTTAATTATGCAATTGTGAATAATGTATGTAAATTGACATTGGTTACTAACCATGGGAATAGCATTTCATACAAAGAAAAATAAATCAAACTTTATAATTAAAGGTAAGCAAGGCAAAGCAACGAAGGTATGTTTTGGTTGAGTTATTTGTTATCACAAAAAAACAATTTGCAAATATATTATTGATGTAATCTTATTAGGAGGCTCCTTTCTTTTAAAACAATACATCCAAGAAATAAATTAGATATGAAAATGCTGACATATACGGGTATTTAATGAGAATATAAAAATAGAAAATAATAATAAAAAAAATATCACTACATTGTACTAGATTAAGAAAACTCGACTGAATTTAGTTCGTACTTAGTGATAATGACTAATCAAACCACTCAATATAAATTGGTTATAAATAATTTTTCTGAAATGCCTTGTCCTAACAATTGTAACAATAATGGGATTTGTGAGGTATAAATATGTTACAACCATAGAACGGCGTTTGTATTTGCAATCCTGGGTATTTAGATCATGATTGCTCGGAAAAAGGGTTACAGATAACTCCATTTAAGCAGTTTCAATAGTAAAAAAATAGTGCAACTGTGAAATACATTTGCATTTGTTTTAACTACACTCTTGGCTTCAATATGCTTATTAAATTTTCTTAATAATGGGAGAATGTTTCTGATGTGAGAGTGCAAATCTTGATATCCTAGAAATACAATTTACCCTCTGATGATAATAACACTTATGATGAAATTATAAATACTACGAAGGTTGGCAAATATAAAATATTATCAAATGTCAATCCACTTGATAATGAATAAGTGAGTGTTTCAAATGAATCCTATTCTTTGTTAATAAAAATAATATCTCAAAATTTAGTACAATGTTGTATTTCAATCGATTTCTAAGGATTAGAATATTTGGAGGAGGAAACAATGCTTAAATTGCTAATAATACTTGGCATAATTGGTTTTTTCTTATTAATTTTTGGGTTTATTGTATATTATTGTTTTAAACCGAAATCAACAAAATAAAAATTAGAAGGGTAATATTAAATTGCAAATCAGGGGGATTTATAAAAATTTCCTGAGTGCCCTATTTGTTTGGAAAATTTTGAAATAAATAAATTAGCATTGTTAGCCCGATTGGAATGTTAACACATATTTCACATTGAATGTTTGAATATGTGGAAGACTCATTAGATCAATAACACACCTTATTCAATTTGTCCTTGTTGTAGGAAGGCTATAGAGTGATAGTACCAAATAAATAGGGTAAATGAGTATATTTCTATGTTACTTATTGGTATAATTAAATATTAACGAATTGAAATTCGATATAAGTACATAAACAATAATAAATCATGGTATTAGTATTTGGGGAATGAGTCACTGCTATGGTTCCGAAAGTATTTAAGGACAACTTGGACAATATAATTAGTGATTTTTTTTAGAGTAAAATTGTAGACATTTTTCATGGAAAATATGCTTTTAAAGACAAGAATTTATTTTAACAACATTCTCATCGTTCTTAGTTTTTAAACTTTACTAGCATAGATAGCAAATATCGCAATCAGTCACTAATTTAACTTGTTTAATCTGATTTCCAAATAACTATTCTTTTTTAAATGATCGCCTTAACAGAAAGAAGATTCCCAAAAAAATAAAGACTCCTAAGATAATAACAGGTAAAAGCCATTCTAATATTTTTTTGGTATTTCCTTACTTCTACCTCTATTAGAATGATATAGATAGTGATGCATTTGGGGTATAACACAAAACTGCGATGATTAATCTGGAGGGTGAATTAGTCAGCATTGTCAAAGTTCCATTGAATACATTTTTATCGTCCTAATCAGTGTCTTCACTCAGAAAGTCATCTTCATCCAAATCTTTGAAGCCTTTTGAACTAATTATCTGAGCAAGAGGCAGGGAGTTATTAAATTTTCCATAGAAGTCATAAAACCTGATGGTAGGTAAAGAGATAACAGAGGAGACGATTTCAAATACACTAAGATTTTATTGGCTATCAGTCTATAAAAATATTTGGAAAGTTTACATAAAATATTAAATCTAATTCCTTCGATTTTTCCTTTTATTGATAATAAAAAAAAGTTACATTATTTGATAAAGTTTAATTTCTCCAGGTCTAAATTTCTAACTCTGTTGCTTTGATTGAGCAATCTTTTCCTATGTAATTTGAGATACAAACACAACGTCCTTAAATACAATTTCCATAGTTATTGCAATTATTTAAACATTTTGATGCATTAGTACCTGTTAATATTAAATCAAATGTAATTGAAATGTTACTGAGAATTGTAATAAATTTAGGAAGAAACAAATTTTCAATGAATAAGTAATGGTTTTTCTTTTTTAGTGCATAGCTATATGATTATGCACAATTAATACCTGTCATAATCCATATCTTTAAATTGTATAGTTTTATTGATCTCTAATGTTGGAAATTTTTCATTGTATAAAACAGCCATTTTTGATTTGACTTTAGAGGTTTACTGAAATTCGACGATGAGAAATTGGAATTATTCCCCTTCTATCTGAATGGTAGTGTTGAATTGGAATGTTGAATTAAATTATGATATGGTTTGATAAGTTCCTGTAATCGTTGGCGTTGTTTATGAAACAGATAAGCTGAATGCTAATGTTTCAAGAAAAAGGAGATTGAATATAATAATCTATGATAGCAAGTTCATATGCGATTATGAAATATTAATTATTAACATGTGACCTTCCAATATTTTATTTAAGTGTTGTCAACGATGTTCTAAACTTATGGAAACAAATAAAATATATAGAATAATTATACAAGTAGAAGAAGGACTTTTTTTATATATTTTATAATTATTCATGAGAACTAGTTCCTTTGTCCCAACATTATTATGAAAAACTTCGAAAGTTAGGATGGACCATGAATCGAGAGAGTAATATCAATCAACATTACGCCTTTTCTCATCAATTTAAGTGTTGTAGAAATTGACTCAAAGCCTATTCTAACAACAATTTCTTGCTTATTATTTCAACGATAAAATCTATTCACCTTGTTGAGGTTGGACTAACTTAATTATTCAACTAAACTAATATAATTTCGAATAAAGTAATCAATCCAGATGAACAATAATTCAACATTATTTTTAAGAAAAAAGTATATAAAATAATTTAGTATTCTAGATTCTCCTTCATTTTACTTAAATTTAATTAATGGAGTAACAAATAGACTGACAATTAAGAAGTTGTACATCTGAATCATGCTTGCACACTTTTAATTTTGGTAGAGGTACAATATTAAAGAGGATAAAATGGCATTTGTTTAGGATATTGATCATTAATAGAAAATTTGGATGAGAATATTAAAAATTTTAAATGAAACTGCTAAGCTCAACATAATAAAAATGCTGAATTGTAAATAGCATATGAAAATTGGAAATAGATTTTTGCACTATCAATTTGGTTTGAGTCATCAACAATTCGAAAGGGTTGGGTCTCACAAGGGAAATTAAAGAATACTCTATTATTATCGATGAAAATCTCTTGATATTTTGGTAATAGGGTTCATTTTAAATAAAATTACACACTCTAGTTTCTTGGTTGAATCGGGGTGATTGTTCTAATGGAGAAACAAGTTTAAGTAATAGGGTTATTGGGGAAAATGCAAAATTCAAGTAAGCCTATTCATTATGATTGAATATATATTTATTTTATCAAAACAAACTCCAATTAGTAGTGCACCCGGGGATAAAGAGTCGGCTTGAATAGAGATTTATCATATTTACATCTCGCACTCTTCTCCCATCCAACCATTAGCACAATAACCTTCTTTACAACAGCTCTGGGATAAAATTCCACAAATTGAACCCTTAGAATTGTAGCATAACTAAAGGTAAATAATTGATATTACGCTTCTGCAAGTAGGTCCCCAAATGGACTAAACTGAATATAACAAAAGCAATATTATTATTATTATTTTCATTAAGATTATATTAAAGAAGAATAAATTATTTAAAAAGTGAAAATGAAATAATTAGAGATGAATGGTACTTAATTGCTTTCTAGAAAAAAATAACATTTATGGAATATTTTCAAAAGAGACCATTCAATTGCCATTTTTTTTTGTTTTTAATTAACTATAAACGCGCTCGTGATAATCTAATATGACTCCTAACTAATATTTACAATTACTGTTTGTATTCTAAATACAATTTTTGCTATTACCACTTAATTGATTGCACTTACTAATAAAACCATCCTATTTAAGAAAATCTGTATATTTATCAGTAAATTATCTACACTATTAATTATTGCATTACTAGACATATAATTGAAGAGCGCATTAATAATACTTTTGCATTCCTTTGAAGTCTAAGAAGCAGACACAAAGTATTTTTGCTACTTTGAAATTATTGCAACAAGAGCCATCACTCTCTTCATAATCATCATCAATTTTGACTTGATAGCAATCATATCAGTATCATTCTAATTGATATTGGAACTAAATCGCTTATTGCAAGACAGAGAAGTAAAATAGATCGTATAAAATCAAAAAAACCCTTTGGCCTTAAGTTTGATTTCCTAATAAGAACAGGATAACTTGTGGAAAAATAGAATTTAAATGATTCCTGTATCATTTATAATGATTGATTCAAAAACCAAGAAAATCAATTTCAAAAACAAAACAGCTCATCACTTCTTTTCTATGTTTTGCGAGACTGATCAAGAATTCGAAGATCTCCTCCTCCATAAATTACAATTCAATTTGGTTCAAGACAACATAGATCAGATTTGTCAATCCTTCTCCTACTTAAAAATACGCCAAAGACTCAGAAGCAAATAGAATCGATTCTAATAGTAGGACAATTAGAACTGCGGCACTCCAGTTCCTCTATCAGGATCCTCAGGAATATAATGTATATCTTCAAAATAGGGCGATTCCTTCGATCACAATGCCTTTAAATTTACTTTGGCAGAGATTATAACAAATCTTTCCGATGGCCTCTTCTAGGAATACATCATAAATAATTCATTGGAATTGCTTTGTCATCAAAACTATCAAGGACTTGTGGAAAATGCTAATACGAATCATACTCAACAGAAGAAATTCTAGTTGTCTGGGTCGATTTTGACCAACCAACAAAATGAAGAGATAATACTCCTTCTAAATGACATATCCAAGCAAAATGAACTATAATAGTTGATCTCTTAGGATGAATTCAAATCGAAAGTAAGTATATTCATGATTATTTTTAGATTGTAGAATCCTTTTCACATGAATTGAGAACTCCTTTGAATGGAGCCATTAATTTTTTATCTGCCTTTTTGTAAGACACTGATCTTACTGAGCCAAACAAAAAATCATATATAATTCCAGCAATAAACTCTCTAAGAATCTAATCATATTTGATTAGTGACATAATTGATTTCACATCTTCATGTGCCAATAATCTAGAACTCTTCATTAAGGAGTTTTCAATGCGAGAATTGATTAATGAGATTACATCCCTTTTTTAAATGTAATTTGCCGAAAAGCATCTAGAATTTAGAGTGGATCTAATGGATTGTTATACCAGTACAGTGACCAGTGATTATAGTAAACTAATGTAAATATTGGTGAATTTACTTCAGAACTCCATCAAATTCTCAACTGAGGGATTGATTGTCTTGAAAATCTAATCTCACACTAAAGAAATTCTTAAATTTACTGTTACAGACATGGGACAAGGGGTTTCCTAGTCCAACATATCACAGATCTAATTGTAATTAAACAATATGAAGAATCAGAAGGAGATTCAATAAAATAAAAAGTGGCATGGATTTGGGTTATTGATTTCTGCTACATTAGTTTAGAAACTGGGACCATCTGATAAGAGCACCATTAAGTTTGAGTCAGATGGAATCAACATGGGTTCTAAGGTATCTTTTTTTATCAAGAATTAACAAGTGAAACATAATAGTATTAAGTAACCTACAATTAGATAGAACACATAGAGATTTTAGAGTTCTGTACATTTGACTTCTTCATTTAACAATCTCAACGGCACAATCATTTAAACGTCAGACTAGGGATTGGCAATGAAGAATGCTCAAAAATAAAAAAAAACCTAGATTAGCTCTTAAAAATCGAATGATAATTCCATGTTTAGTGAAAGTGTTGTTTTGGACTCGTTGGATTAAAAGTTTGGTTTGCTCCATCCTGTTGAACCCTCATTGATCACCAATATTCTATGTGGTTCTCCTTAAAAGCCAGTTGATAGGAAACATATTGGCAAGAATGAAAACTCATCTTAAAGATCGAATAACTCTAAGATACTGAGCATACAATTTATTAAGTAGGCGGAAGAACAGGAGGATGAAGAATTGCTGTAAACTTATAAGAGGCGGAAGAAATGTCAATGTCAGAGGATTATGTCTGTGGATGACGAAATATTCAATCAGAAGTCAATTTAGATGTTGTTGTGCAAATTGGGATTCGAAGTTATTTTAGTAACATTATTAATTTATTTTTAGGCATTTAATGGGCAACAAGCTTGCGTTGATATTTTGAACATCAAAAAATGCGGGAAGAAGTGTTAATTATTGACTCTCATCTTGATGGACTACTAAATGCCTATTCTAAATGGGTGTCAAGCTTCGGAGAAATTGATTCAGATGATGAATGACAACATTATACCGAAAATTCACATTGTTGGTTTAACTGCGTTTACCAATTCAAACGATATCGAAAATTGCTTAAAAGCAGGAATGAGTGATGTCCTACACAAGCCGCTTAATCTAAAGGAATTTAAGGAAATTCTTACTTTAATTTGATAAACCTAAACCATTTTTATATTAATACTTTATGTTTTTGAAAAAATTAATGATTTTACTGTTAAATTTATATATTATATACTTGCGAAAATAACAATAAGTTGTCCTTACTTTGATTTAATATATATTATTTTAAATATTAATATTTTTCATAGGCTATTAGAATCACTAATCATGAACAAGAAATCACCAGCTAAAGATACATTTCTTTATACAACTCTTTTCCTACTAGTAATACAGATGGTTTTAAATATCAGTCTAATTAATGAATTGACAGAAATTAAAACTAGCTTAATTGCTATTATTCTCAAAATTATAGTTGACATAATCTCATGCACTTTTTTGTATCTTTTAAAGAATAAAATTACTAACACAATAATGTTGAATATCATATTTCTAAATAGGATACTTGAAATTGTAGTAATTTCAATAATTCAATTACCTTGTGGCATATATTTATCTATTTAAATGATGTATTCGTTGGATATAAAAACTGATTAATGCATAGCAAAAATAGCTTTGCTGGCTAATATTTCTGGAAAATTAAGCCTGATATTATCAGTATGTTTAGTTTAGATTGATGCATTAAGTTTCGTTTGCTCATTAACATTAATATCCCTTGATATTTTAAGATTTGTTTAATACCAATAGAAGTATCAGAATAAAACTCACTATTTGCAACTACAACTAAATGAATTGCAGTCACCCTCCGAATACTCAAAAACAAGTGACAATATTTGGAGATAGAGAATCTAAGATATGAATGTGTAAGTCCTGATATTGAGTTATTCAAACTTATGTGTTAAATACATCAATTAATGCTTTATGGAATTGTTTAGATGTACCATAGAAGAAGAATTACAGAAAATTATTTTATAAGAATTAAATTTTTAGATACCTTAGCAATGCACTGAGATTTTCAAAAGTGCCTCACTCCAGATGAAAAAGTTAAGAGATAAATTAAGAGATCCATCTTGCAGAGAGTTTAAGAACTTGGAATCGACCAAACAGGTCATTACCATATAGACAAAAACTTTAGAGCAAATTCTTGAAGAATATAAATAGGGGATTTACGATTCTTTAATCCAAGCTTCTAGAAACAAGGCTCTTGATATATCTTGCACCATCAAATTGCAGAATTGCAATCCCATTTCTTTAAGTGGGTAAATAATTAGCGACAATCAAGAGATCACTATCTTTTTAAACGACATCTCAAAATAGACAGAATTATCCTAATAGAAAATCAAGGATGACTTCAAATCAAAGATCATCGAATCATTTTCTCACGAAATGAAAACACCCCTAAACAGTGCAAAAAATCTGATCGAATCAGCTATTTCTGAGTCTTAAATTGATAATAATATCAAGAATTAGTATTTGCATCCAGCATTTAACTCATTAAAGCTACAGTCATACATTATCAACGACATAATAGACTTTTCAAACTATTATGCAAATTCATTGCATCTCTAAATTAAAGACTTCACATTCAAAGAGTTGATCAATGAAATAAGTGGGTTGTTTTAGCAATAATTCGAGATGAAGAATATGGGATTAAAAATAGTAATGGTGAAGAATAGTTTTCTAACATTTAATACTGACTATAATCGTCTGATATAAATAATAGTGAATTTGTTGGCAAACTCATTAAAGTTCTCATACAGTGGCAATGTGGTTGTTCGGTTTAAATCACTTGAGTAAAATACTTTGAAAATATCGATCAAAGATTAAGGGATTGGTATTGAGTAAGAGAAATTGGATAGAATCCAGAAAACTCTAAGTCAATTCCAAGAGACCTCAGATTTCATCTATAATAAAAATTGGCATGGATTTGGACTGTTAATTTCATCCATTCTGTTGACCAAGCTCTCAACTAATCCAAATAAATAGTTATTGTAAATTAAAAGCAAAGGAAAGAGTTTGGGAACAAAAGTTATCATCTTAGTTGAAGACTAAAATAAAGTGGATGAACAAAATAGAGGATAATCAATTATGATTTCTAGAAAATCAGTTAGATTTGGAACAAAAATAAATTCACAAAATAAAATATAAATTGGAACTGTCATTGTGACTTCAGTAAAGCCGGTGTCGAACTTAAAAAATAATGATATCGTGACTCCGCAATTTAAAACAATAGAGTTTTAAACAGATATGATATCGATCGATAAATCCAGTGATTTCTTTCCCATAAATAATAAACTCAAAGAATTGAAATCGTCTGATCCAAAGTTGATCAGTGATTTAAACGATTCACAAAGCTCGGATTAAATTGGAAATATCCAATTTGGACAATTAGGATAATCAAACGATCCTCCTTCAATACAACAACAATTTAAAGATGTAAAATCAAGTAGGAGTTCTCGGTCACAGGTTTTTAGCATTAAATAATTAAAATTATTGGAGGATTAGGAGAGCCAGTAAAATCTATTGAATTTTGCTCAAAAAAAGAAATGTCAGTGTCGAAGAATACTCTCAGTAGATGATGAAATATTCAACTAACATTCCTTATGCATGTTGCTTCAAAAACTGGGCTTTGAAGTGTTGGTGGTTAGTATTAAATAGTATAACCTTAGGCTTTCAATGGGTAACAGGCAATAGATAAGTTGAACGAATTAAAGAAGTGCTGTGATAATTGCTAATTGCTTGATGTGATCTTAATGGATTATCAGATGCCAATACTAAATGGAATTGAAACTACAAAAATCATTTTGGAAATGATAGAAACCAAACAGATCCCCTTCATCAACATCATAGGTTTAACAGCATTCACTAGTGAATCAGACATAGTAAATTGTATAGATGCAGGCATGACTTATGTATTACCTAAGCCTTTGAACCTAAAAGACTTCAAAGACTTATTGTCAAATTTATGAAATTGTGTTTTATATATGAATGATTTTCACTTCAAACTTATTGTACATCCTGCTGCTGTTAACTTTTCCTTTAATTCATTGGCTTTCTCCTTAGGCACCTGCTTTCCTAAACTTGCTGGCAATTTCTCAACCAAATCCTTGGCTTCTTTCAATCCCAAATTGAGCAGTTACCTAAATTGATATCATTCAAAAAATACCTAACTTCTTTGATAATTTTGATCTTCTGAGCTGCATCAATAGCACTCAATTCGACATCGTAATTTTTTTTCTTGATTTTACTTACATAATTACCTCAGCCTCAGCTTTTGGTGCAGCTTCTGCTTGCTTCTCCTCTTGCTTTGGTGCTTCTTTTGTGGCAGCACTTTGGGATGAAGCTTAACTTCCCATTGATCCTACACCACCGAAAATAGCTTTGAAATCAGGCTAAGTTAATTAATGAATCTCTTACGACGTTCTCTCCAAAGAGATCTTTCATATAAGCTTCAATCTATTCTTTCTCCTTTGGAGGCCAAGTTGGTACTTCATTTTGTTTGATCGCAGGCCAATTTGAATTAAGCTCAAAGATGCCAATGCCTTGAGCCTTGTAGTGATTTTCATTCAGCAAACTCATTAAACATTACAATTCGAAAAGATCTAATTCACAACATGCATCAGCTATTGCCTTCACTCGTGTTTTTTGATCTTGTGTTAATGTTTATTCTAAATATTCTTTTTGTCTTGACATTAATTGTTTATTTACTATTATGTTTTCTATTTCGCTATGCTTTACCATTCAGCCTATTTTTTAGTAATTTCTTCCAGAGATGAACAAAATCTAAATTGTCTGAATAGTCTTATACTTTTTGTTAACATAATTTAATTTTAATTAATATATATTTATATAACACTTTTCATTTATTGATCATTCCAAGCTATCATCTATTACATATATGTCGATGACTTAAAGAGTAGGATTGTTAATGTATTTATAGAATTTTAGGTGCTAAGAATTTTATATATGAATGAATTCAAAATGGATTCAATTGTTATTGTAGACTTTTTCATTTACTTTTTTTACAAAAATAATTGGTTTTTGAATGTGTTTTTGCTTACATTTATTGATATTATAACTACCCCATTACTGTAGTTTTTATTTTTTAAATCTTATAAAATAGATGATGTTTAAAATAAAGATCAAAAGAGTTATATATAAATGTAATTAATTTTGACTTTATTTACTATTCGATTTTAATTGCAATAAAATATTATTTTTTTAATAGTATTGCTATAAAGCCTTTACATTTTGCTATGTAGCTTAAGACAATTACTATTGGATTAACAAAAATAATTATAACTAATATATAATTTAATTTAATAATTGGTGTGGTATAACAAGATGAAATAGCCAATTAGGCAGATTCAAATTTAAGAATTACTATAGATCTTAACAAATTATAGAGTTTGTTAGAAATATTATTGGGATAAATTTTCAAGATATTTACATACAAACTTAAAATAATTGAATTTCAGGTTTTTCTGAATTCTCCTTTTAACCTTTTCATTAAGTACCCATTGATGAAGATTTTTTGATCGAATTAGGCTAATAATTCACTTAGCAGATTATGAAGTACAATTTAGTGAACTTGATTTTCTTAAACCACTAGTAGTGCTCACAAAAAATTATAACTGATTGGATAAGGTGTGTGATAACATTAATTTCTACTGTTGCTTTTAAACATGAATGAAAGATAATTAAAGATAACTAAAGATGGAATTTTTGAAGATAAGGAATTGAAAAGTCAAATGATCTGTATTCATTTAATTCATAATCATTTGCTAAATCACCTAAATGTGAATTTGAACTAGAAATTGTCTAAAAACAATAGGATGGTTTAACAAATTATTATTAAACTAATTTAGAATACTTACATCTATTGATTAAATAATTACACAATAATCTAAAATCCTTTAAATTTCTGGGAGTAAAGCCTTCTGCAAATGAATGTAAGAATTCGTTCTAATAATATCCTTTTTTACAAGGGTATATTATCTTTAAAGAGATGATAAAAGTTTATTATTATTGTATAATAATAAATTATATTCAAAATTAAACTATAATTTAAGTCTATATAGAGAAGAAATAGTCATAAGATCTCAATATATTAGTGATTTGAGTGAATATGAAATAGATAGATAATGAAATGATAATGAAAAAATAAATAAATAATTAATAATAATCAAACAAATCCTAGTTCTTTTTCTGCATCTTAAACTCTATTCTCAAGTACAATAGTATTTTGTTGTAATTTAATTCTGTCTTAATTGATCTAATCTACTTATTGTTTAAGGAATTGATGTTGTTCCAATTGCAATGCATTTTGTTCATGAAACTCCTGCATTAATCTTCGATATTCATCATTCAAATATGAATTAGCTTCATCAAATGAATCAGTGGTCTTTTGAGACAACTCAATTAAATTATTACGCAGTTGCTCTTTGTCCTTCTTTGTCATGTCCAAATCATCCATTTGTTATTGCAATAATAGCTACTTTTAGCAGACTGACTTACATCCAACCTGCTCAAATGATTCTTGACAGGCATTTTCAGAGTGAATTCCTCCTGTTCATCTGGTAAGAGATCCTAATAATCGTGATTATAAGCCATTATAATTAATTAATTAATGATTGAATGAATATCAACTTTTATATTCCTTGTAATTGGGACAGATGTAGCCATCCTGCTTGCTCAATTCATTAGTGTCATCGTAGTCATAATAGACTTCAGCCCCAGTCTTCTGGAGATTATCCAAATAAATCAGAGAGGGTATTTCATCAAAGAACAACTTGAAGTAATCTTGGATGGGATTCCCATATAAGTTAAGTTGAGTAATTTTCATTTCTTTCAAATATTTGATCATGGTTTTTGCATCGTCAATCTGATTGCAGATGAGAGAAATCGAACGCAATTCAGTGTACTTCTTCAAATAGCCGATTTGTTTGGCCTTGATGAGATTGCCATCCGCTTAGAACCTGACCAAATGTTTGAAGGATGGAAAATTGGTTAGACTTTGTAATCCACATCTATTGATGCCGAAACTGTGAACGTTTGGGAACTCTTGTAGTTTGTCCCTCAATTCAGGTGTGATCTCAGGTATGTCGAGTTCTTCAAGTATGATTTCCTCGACAAACATTGCATCATATTGGTCATAAATGGATTGAAGGATCTTGATGGGGTCTTTGGTATCATTCTCGTGGAAATCAGCTTTGACATGGGGGGATTCATGTTTGAAAATTAGAGCTTATTTCATTTAATGAGTTGAGTTTGGTATGGACTGTACATATATAGCATAATATCATTGATTTATTTTGTAATGTAATTATGAATTTCATTAGTCTGGATCACTAAATACATTCAATCGAAGATTACGATATTCTTTGCGCCCTCGACCGTACAGACTACTCCACCGTTTACAAGGCGTAATCTCACAATCCTATCATTAAAGACTGGACAAGAAGACAGGACTCATCGTAGCCATCAAAGTCATCAATTTGGTCAATCAGGCAGAATTGGCTCAAGCAGTATAGACCTACCGCACTAAGCCCTTCAGAAACATATGCTTGGTCGATAAGTGTTTTGGACAAGATGGCAAACTCTTTATAGTGATGGAATACTTTGCTGGAGGATCATTGAAGGATTTGATTCATTTATTCAAGATCAACAAGCAGACTTTGGAGACTCAATATGTGCAAGTGATCATCCGAGAACTTTTGCTTGGTGTATAGGAGATCCATTAGGAGGGTCTGGTGCATCGACATATTAAATGTGAGTTTTATTATTTTTACCCTAAATCTCTTTTTAGCTGCTAATCTCTTCCTTTCCCAAGAAGCCAAGGTCAAATTATCCTACTTTTCCACCAACAAGGAATTTGCAGATACCATCAACAAATCACAATCCCATATCCTCAGTCTCCCCTATTGGATGGCTCCAGAAGTAAAAGAACTCTACATTATATATATATAGACCATCTAATCTTCTTTGACTGATTAGAAAACAGACATTTGGGCCATTGGTATCACTGCATTTGAATTGATCACTTCCAAGATCCCCTATGAGGATGTGCCTCCATAGAAGGTGATCTTTAAAATTGTGCAACAACCTCCAAGATTGAGTGGAGATTATCCAAATGAGATGATCGATTTTGTGCATTAATGTTTGCAACGAGATCCAAGACTGAGACCAACTGCTGCTTAATTGCTTACTCACCCCTTCATTAGGAATGCCAAAAAAACTCAATTGCTGTTTGAATTGCTTGAGAGAGCTGGAATGTTGAGTGGAGAACAACAATAGGCCAGTTGTGAAACTCTTAATTACACGCACAATCGAGTTGTCACTTCCCTCAAGTTAGATGCCAGTGGGACACCCATACGAGAGGATGACGAATTGCTCAAGGAAGAAACTCTGAAGATCAAGCGGACTTTCAGGAAGATAGAAAAATATAAGCCTGGATTGGGCAAAATCGTATTGACATTATACCTTTGCAGATATACCATGAAATCATCCAGGTCCTTAAAGCCAAGACCCCCTGATGAATACAGCAATCTAATTACGCATTCTCATTAATTATAATAATAAATGAAAACCAATAATGAGCCTTCTCTCTTCAAATATCGAGTACTTTATCTAACACTTATCTCTATCTCTCTAGGTCCTTGAACAAAAAAACAAAAAAATCATCCTGGAAGCTGATGAAGATCAATTCAATTCCTTCGCCAATGCTCTTTCCGTCGTTTAAAGGTTTCATGACGAAATCAAACAGTAACTCAACCCTCAACCATCCTCGAGGAAAATACGCGGTACTCCCATCCCCATCTAATTATTTCCCTAGTGAACTCCGACTCAGAGAAATCCAACAATGTGTCTCATCCCTATCCCAATCCGGACATCAAGGAAGATCAGGACTTCAGAAGGTATACAAACACCCTCTACCTAGACGCATTCCTCATTTCTTCCTCTCTCGTTTCAAGAAGTGGGCCAAAATGATGGAACAAGATGCTGCCTACAAATATCTTCAGAATGTGTAAGAATCCAAGGTAATTTCAAATCTACCATCACTTAGACCTCCAAACAGCAACGATTTGAATTAGGCGACTTGCAAAGGTGCTTTCAAGTTTAGGTTAACGAACCCAAGGAGTCCAAGCTTTGCAAGAATTTACTCAAAGACCTTTTCATCTCCTTCCTCTAAAATGAAGCCACACTCCAAATCATTCATTACAACAAAATAAGTTCAATCGAATAAAAAGTACAATGTGGAATTTTAAAATTAGCATAAATACATTGCAGAAATTAAAAATATGATTTAAGAAATGTACGAACTCAAACCTTTTGATTCTTATCTCTCTTCTGAGAAAATTAAAGGCAAGAAAACAATCGCCAACAACATATGCCAGTCACCAATCCAAGAAAAACAGGAGGAACAAAGAGATGATTTCCAGATCCCCCAAATCCAAGAGAAATATTCCAATGAAAGCTTTAAAAAATACAACTAAACTCCCTCCCTTGTAAAAATGAATAGTTTCTAATGACTTCATGTTATTTTTAACATTTATTAAATAACTATTAATTAAATTCTCCACATTAAGAGACCATTAACAATTTTAATGCATTTATTTATTTATATATTTCAATGCATATTAAATAACTATATTATTATAAATAATAAATTTTAATTAATGAATTAAATTATTACATCCAACTTTCCATCCTTCATTTTTGATAAGCAATTCAAGGCTCTCCAATTCTCATCACCCTATTAACAAATTAGTTAGATTTATGATAGATTTCTGCATTGTCCTGATAATCTCCGCATGATGCTTAAGATAATCCCTTAGACAGATGAAAATTAGCCAAATATTTAATATNGGGCAAAATCGTATTGACATTATACCTTTGCAGATATACCATGAAATCATCCAGGTCCTTAAAGCCAAGACCCCCTGATGAATACAGCAATCTAATTACGCATTCTCATTAATTATAATAATAAATGAAAACCAATAATGAGCCTTCTCTCTTCAAATATCGAGTACTTTATCTAACACTTATCTCTATCTCTCTAGGTCCTTGAACAAAAAAACAAAAAAATCATCCTGGAAGCTGATGAAGATCAATTCAATTCCTTCGCCAATGCTCTTTCCGTCGTTTAAAGGTTTCATGACGAAATCAAACAGTAACTCAACCCTCAACCATCCTCGAGGAAAATACGCGGTACTCCCATCCCCATCTAATTATTTCCCTAGTGAACTCCGACTCAGAGAAATCCAACAATGTGTCTCATCCCTATCCCAATCCGGACATCAAGGAAGATCAGGACTTCAGAAGGTATACAAACACCCTCTACCTAGACGCATTCCTCATTTCTTCCTCTCTCGTTTCAAGAAGTGGGCCAAAATGATGGAACAAGATGCTGCCTACAAATATCTTCAGAATGTGTAAGAATCCAAGGTAATTTCAAATCTACCATCACTTAGACCTCCAAACAGCAACGATTTGAATTAGGCGACTTGCAAAGGTGCTTTCAAGTTTAGGTTAACGAACCCAAGGAGTCCAAGCTTTGCAAGAATTTACTCAAAGACCTTTTCATCTCCTTCCTCTAAAATGAAGCCACACTCCAAATCATTCATTACAACAAAATAAGTTCAATCGAATAAAAAGTACAATGTGGAATTTTAAAATTAGCATAAATACATTGCAGAAATTAAAAATATGATTTAAGAAATGTACGAACTCAAACCTTTTGATTCTTATCTCTCTTCTGAGAAAATTAAAGGCAAGAAAACAATCGCCAACAACATATGCCAGTCACCAATCCAAGAAAAACAGGAGGAACAAAGAGATGATTTCCAGATCCCCCAAATCCAAGAGAAATATTCCAATGAAAGCTTTAAAAAATACAACTAAACTCCCTCCCTTGTAAAAATGAATAGTTTCTAATGACTTCATGTTATTTTTAACATTTATTAAATAACTATTAATTAAATTCTCCACATTAAGAGACCATTAACAATTTTAATGCATTTATTTATTTATATATTTCAATGCATATTAAATAACTATATTATTATAAATAATAAATTTTAATTAATGAATTAAATTATTACATCCAACTTTCCATCCTTCATTTTTGATAAGCAATTCAAGGCTCTCCAATTCTCATCACCCTATTAACAAATTAGTTAGATTTATGATAGATTTCTGCATTGTCCTGATAATCTCCGCATGATGCTTAAGATAATCCCTTAGACAGATGAAAATTAGCCAAATATTTAATATGATGATAAAATTTAAAGAATCTTCTTTGTTGACTTTATTAATTCAAGTTAACAGTAGGATCAAATTGATTTTAAATTCATAATCCCTCTTAATTAAATTTATAATAACTTATTTCTTATGCCATTGGTTTCATTCAACATAGAAATCAATCTAAAATACGGATAGGCTTTGTACCTAGCCAATTCTCAATGTGATTGGGTTGTAGACAAAATGTGTCGGATGACTTGTGCCTAGGTAAATAATATCAGTAAAATTTGTAGGATTCTTTCTGGTAATTGTCATTGGAGGTCAATCAAAATCCTTTCGAATACAAATATGCAATTGGAGATTACTTTCTGTAGAATTAAAGCAATCTTTAGTGGGAGAGGGGTCCGAATCGAATTTTGAATTGGAACACTGAAAAATGCATTACTCTAAGTATCAACTAGCTTTTATGATAGAAAACAAATGGGAACAAAGGAAAATTTTCCTTTTTTTGTAGGCCAATTCCAAAACGTCTGTCGCCATCTTGATGAGCAATTCTAATTCACTGCAAAAAAGATTAAAATAAAATAAAGATATAAATAATGACTCGAAACTCTTTTGCACAAGTCTATATGTCGATGTAAATGAAATCGCCTAAGGGATAGAAATTTAATATTACCTTCTGATGAAGAAGAAATGTATAAAAAAAATATAAATTTCAAGATCCATGCGAACTCATTAGTAAACCTATAAATTTGAATCTTTCTGATTAATTTTGGTTTCATTCAAATGAACTGGAATTCTCAATACTTTCATTGTGAGAATTTATTATTTATTAAAATTATATACCGATAGTGTATGAGGAATTAAAATATTATATATTTAATAATATGATCAAAATAATCTTCTTGATTGCCAGTCTGTTCATTTTGAATAGCTATCAAACGAATTAATTGGTTGCAACTTATTTTACGGCTAATACATTTTCAAACACCGAAGGTATTGCTATATTTTTCTATAAATAGGATGGGGAATTATAGGTTCATCAGCAATTTATGATTTGCAAATGGGTAAGTCCGTTTTTGGAGGAAACAACGGTTTTGCAGTCGGAACAACAATATACAAATTAGTAGAGGTTCCTTATGCTCACCATACTCTCAGAATAAAATTCAGAATTTGGGCGTAAGATCAATATGAAGCTATAATAGGATGAATAAATGGGAAAGTGAATACATAGTCATTAAGGCTGATGGAGTAGTAGTGAATAAACAACTGGTTCATTCTAGTTTGACATCTAATTTCGCACAATACTTATTTTAAGAAATCTTTTTCTTCCACTCCGCCCCAAGTGTTCTCCTAGAAATTACGTCAACTTTGAATGAAGCCAATAACAATGTATTTTGAATGTTTTAACAATTAGGAATCATGGGGAGTTAGAGACATAGAAATTTAAGCAGTGAAATGTCCTATTGGATGCGAGTTATGCAGTTTCACCGATACACCTGACACATGTTCTGAATACAAATTTGAAACCTCCAATTTTGCAACAGACACGTTTACTACAAATCAAGGATGGATAGTATAAGATTGGGTTGTCCAACAACTGTTTTGCGACAGTAATAATTGAATTAATGATATAGAGATCTAAATGTTTGGATATTTTCCTACTGGAGTTTCAATCTATAAGAGATACTATTTGCAAGCATCATTTTATAAAGTAAAAGTGAAGTTTCTATTCTGGAAAATCGATGCCATTTCCTCATCCATATCTCATGCCCTTTATGCAAATGGATAATAAATATGGACTTATGACAAAACTAAAAGCAAAACATTGAGTATATGCTCACTTGCAGCAAATGAAGAATATTCTTATGTAGATGTTGAATTTGAATCCAATTCCCAATTGATAACATTTTAGTTTTATTCTGATTCAGTTGCAGGGGAATATTACGGAATTAGAGACTTCTATATTTATGTGTTGCTTTGTGATGATTAAACAGCGTTGTGTTCAAAAACCTCAAGCTAAATCGATGTGACTACAGATTTGATTGATTTTCAATAAAGTGTTACATCACTAGTCAGTTCTTTTTCAGGCAGTCTTCCTTCTGAATGGTCATCCTATCAATCCTTCTCTGCAACAACCAGACTTAGCCATTCCTTTTGCACAGAAGCATCAACTCCCATCTAATTCATGTCATTATATGATAAATTGTACAAGGATTTTACCTTTAATCCTCATAAGACACTCAAAATGATCTTTTATTTGTATTCACAGTCCAAAGAAAATAATATCCTCTTGTATGCAGATGACGTTCTAGTCGATACGATTACAATTGGATACAGTTCCAATGATATCAATTGTGGAGGCTCTGCCCAAGGGGATAAGTATGAAGAATATACTCTATATGCTGTAGAGATTGATCATACCTCTTTAATGACCAGGATTACATTTTTAGGCCGTACTTATACAGGAGGAAACTTCTTGTAAGGATTCAATAAATTTGAAATCTACACAGGCAATTGTGATTGTGATGTCTGCACCGATTCAGGCACATGTGCAACAGTGTACTCACTAGTGGATATTGATTTCGCTTAAGATTCCCTCTCAGATAATGAGAAATGGCAACTTATATCATATAGTATCTCTGCTTCTACCTGTAATTTTTAGGAAATCTTGGGAGGGTATAATATTCTCACTAAGATATAACAAGTAAGAGCCTTGTATAAAGCATTGCCAACACATAACTCAATTAGAATTCAGATGAATATTTATTTCATCGGCAATTGGGCAAACACTGAATCTTTAGTTATCCTCCTTGATAACACTGAAATTTGGAGACAGAAAGTCCTTTAAGCAAATTATGCATCTCAACTTTGTTCTGGTGGTGGGGCATCTTACTAAGTTGTCGAAGTAGACCTCTTCGTAAGTCACTCTCCGACGGATTTTACTTTAATATTCAATATTGATTCAGGAAGTGGAGATGGTATATACTTATAATTTATTCATAGAATATTGGGGAGTAAGAGACTTTTACATTTCAACATCAAATTAAATCATAAGTTGAATTATAAATAATAGATATAAATCTATAAAATTAATTATTCATGTTTTTTATTACTTAAAGAATCATATTCAGTTATTTAAAATGTCTATTCCCCTTCTCCATAGATCCATTTTGAAATGGAAAATTTAAACATTGAAATTCTATTTATTATGGTTATCTTTTAAGATTGATTAAATCCATTAATAAGGAAATTCGTATAAATACTTTTTAATTTTGATTTAATAGTTTGTTGTTTTATAGATGTGAATCTAATTTAAGTATTTAGAAACCCTCCGATTTTAGTAATGCCAATAAATGATATACTATTCATTTAATTTTATAGTAGAGAAGATATTTATTGTATAGAATCATTTCAAACTTTTTAAAAATAAAAATATAGACAAACCGAGTATCGATCTCGGGACCTCTGCAGTGTAAATGCAGCGCGATAACCATCTACGCCATTTGTCTTAACTCGGAAATTAAACGATAAACCAATAGTTATAAGATCTCAAAAGCCAATTATAAAATACTTTACAGAAAATTCATCTACAATTATTTTAATAACCGAAACATTCAACATTTTATTTTATAGTTCTTAAATTAAGAAGAAGACTACTATATAATTCAAATAATGATGATACTTAAATATAAGATTGTTAATTTTACTTTATGACAATTTTTAAATGTATTTGTTATGAGAATAAAAAGATAAAAGTATAAATAAGAATTTCAGATTATATTCCAATTAAGAACCTCGTCCTCATCTTCTTTTTTGGATCTGAGTTTGTGGATTTCTGACATAATGGTTCTTATTTTTGTCACAGATGAAATCGTTTAGTTGTAAAAGTAATCAAGAATCCATTGTATTTCTGTTCGCTTTACGTAATCACACAACCAATCAGTATATAATCCGAGAATGCTTTGCATTATGGAATCAATATTTTGTTCTTTGGCACAAAAATAACAGATGGCTCTGCTCAGATTCTTGCAATTTTTAAATAGGACTTCATATTTTCCTTTTTTAAACATGTTCAAGCCTTTCCAACAGACTAAAACAATCCCCAAAAATTTATGAACTTAAAAGAAATCCAAATCTCCTATTTCCTCTTTTGTTAAACTATCTAATTCACGATTCCATTCTCTCTCCTTATTGAGAAATTTGGCAAAGTTCTTATCGTAGTCAAATATTTGCATGTCTACATAATAATCCCCTTTATTCTATTTCAATTCAATTGTTGCTAAGTGATTGATTGTTTCAAGTAGAATATATTCATGTCTTACAGCTACTCCTCCTATAATCCATGAAAGTGGAGTTAAAATTCCTGAGGGAATGCATTTAAATAAGGATTAACAGTTCCTTTGGACTTTGACTATTTTCTCCTTTAAAAGCATCTAATATTTCAAGTTGTTTTAATCAATTTATTATCGTTCATAAGAGATAATCATTTGGTCAATTCCAAATGGGATTCTATCCATTAATTGTAGAATTGATGAATCAGCAGTTCTTATGTTTGCAAAGAAATACATGAAGCAAAAGGCAATTATAAAGAACAGTAATGGCAGCTTGTTAAAAATCAATTTTTTGAGCACAATCCAAAGAGATGAGAATATAAGATGTAAAATCTTAAGAAACTTGTTTTTTTCCATATAATTTGTTAATTAATTAAGTTTGAAAAGAAGAAGAAATATATAATTATACAGATTCTGATTAAATATAAGATTCATCCAACAATTTATGTTCTCAACCATAATAACACAAATTTAACTTTTTTAATTGCCTTAGGATTATTATTATTTTTTTTAATGTATAATTCATTTTGCGATGAAATTAGTAAGAGACCTTCCATTTGGGTGGAAAGAACTACAATCACTAAGAGTGCAACTGCAGCAGCTGGCAGTGGAGATTTGCATGCATATCGAAGATTTAAAAGGGCCGAGACATTGAGATAAAGAGAAGAAGAAGAAGTCAATTAAGAAGTATATAAAATAATTAATTATAATAGAGACTAGAACATGAAGAATTTCAACAAACAAGAGAAGAGAAATTTATGCAAAGTCAAGAAATCACAAACAAGAAACACAACAAAAGAGTTTAGGAAAAGCTAAAGTTAAAGATGAAAAAAGAATTAAAAAAGATTGAAAGAGAAGCATTATAATTAAATAAATTTGCTAATGACGGATCCTTTCTTGAAAAATTTATATCATAACAATAGCAAGATAAATAAGAATAAAAGTAGGAGAATTAAGAATTAAAAGAGGAAGCAATTGCAAAAAAGGAAGAAGAAAACAAAGTGCAATAATCATAAAATTCTAGTGATGAATGATAATATAATATTAAAATCTAAATCAAAATCTTTTAATCCATATTATGTAATCATTTAGATTGATTACTTAATAATATATAGTTATTAAAATACTTTTCATCTACTTTCTTATATGATCTGAAATTTTATAATAATAATTATCATTATTTTCAATCCATTCATAAAAATAAATTCACTAATACTAATAATTTAATGTGATACTCTGTTTCAAGAAGTCTCATATTTGATTTTACAGAAGTTAAACCTACTTCATATATTCAAAACTTATATTTACTAATAAAGGTTGATTATTATAATGTTAGCAATTAATTTATTTAATGATCATAACCATAATTATAAACAAAATTATTTCATTAATTTATTTAATTTATTATTTAATGATGAAAACAAGCACTGGGTTATGATCTCATGATTATACTCCTACATTCACCTGAATGGATATTAAAATTATTATAAAGTGATGACAAAGTAACGGGCGGACTTAGTTAAGTCATGCTGATTTGTTAAGTGTGAACAATCTCTGATCATTTTTTAATTATTAACTTATTTATATATATTATATATATATATATAATACGATATGCTCAATTGACTGGCTTTATCTAATAACATTAAGCTAGAATAATACTCTAAAATGTAGGCCAATTAAAGAAAAGACAAAGCATTTTACATCTTGAACCAAATAGAAAAACACTCTCAACCCATCAGGATCCTAGCTATTTTGTACATCTTGTATAGATCCTAATTTCGATGTAGTAAATGAAATATGATTGTTTCCAAGCTTAATTTCTAATTCTTATCTCCCTATTTTATCAGGTGCTGGCCATTTCGAATCATTCTCTCTACAATTTCAGTGCATTATAATACTTGATGATTTCTGACTCCTCTATGATACGTTTAATCTCATCTATCACTGAATCTGAAACATAACATTCCTTTCTGATTAAAACATCTTGTTTGTAATTTGAATTGTTAGCATATCTCAATCTACCGTCATTTCTGAATTCGAACTCAAGAAATTCATGTCCATAAACACCTTTGTGTCCAACACTAAAGTAAATATTTATTTATACTAATATCTGAGATAAAACTCTTCATTTTAATTAACTTGCATAATATAAAATTATTATATATAATTAATTACATTCACTCAAGCTAATTGTTTTCAGATCATAATAATATTTCATGAATCACGCTCCCTTCCATAAAATCACTTATTTCAGAATTAGTTTAGTTTTTTTGAAGAAGAAAAGAAATCCTTTATATCATGAATATCATTACTTTTTTTAATAAGGAATATCATATTGATATTGAGATTTGTTAAAATTAATATTAAATTGAAATATAAGAATGAAATGATGTTTAATGTTTCTTTAACTATTAATTTGTTTTAACAATTAATGATTAAGTAGAACTAAATATATAAAATAATATAATAATGAGTTTGATAATAAATATAATCACATATCATATAATAGAATAATCACATTCTAAATTTAAAGTTTGATGATTATTAAGATAAAATGAAGACTAAACTTCTTTATCCAAAATTATTGAGTTTGATAAATTAGAATATATCCATCATTTTTTAATCCTTTATATGTTTGTGATTCATGAGTACTCTCATATTTATAATAGAAAAAGACAGAGAACATTTATTAAATATTTCTTTTATAATATTTTTATATATATATATATAATAATAATCTTTAAGGTTGATAATCAACCTTATTTTGGGGGCACTTAACCGGTTGGCGGTTATTATTGTTATGTGTTGTTTGCAGTTATTCCAGGAGTACCTTCCGTTTTCTAGATCAGATTCCAATCGTAAATATAGTCCATCTCAAATCCGCTCTTGGTAAATAAGTCCTTTAATAAAGTCCTTAAGTAGCTGTAGTCTGGTTTTTCATCAAATCTCAAATTTCTTACATAAGTTAAGTAAGTAGCTAATTCCTATGGAAATCCTTTGCACAATGTTTCTATTGATGTTGAAATTTTTTTCTCCATAATCTTTTCATACTTATCTTTTTTGTTTGAAGCCTTCAAGTTTTACCAGGGGAGGGATCCTCTCAAGAAGTACATCATGACATAGCCTAATGATTCAAGATCATCTCTTCTTCCCTTTAATTTAAATGCAATATTTACTTGCTCAATACCAAGATGAGTATTGATTGAAGCATAACGGGCTGTTCCTGTCAAATTTTTACCTTCCTTGTAAGGAATGTGTTTGCCATCTTTTTGAATATATCTCTTTGCCAATCCAAAATCAATAATATACACCTTATGAGCTCTATTTAAATTTAAATATATAGTACCTTTTGCCTGTTCCAATTAAAAAGTTGTCAGGTTTAATATCACGATGTAAAAAGTGCCTAGAATGAACATATTCAATCCTTTAAATCATTTGATCAGCCAACATTAATACTGACTTTAGAGAAAACTTTCTGCCGCATAAATTGAATAAATCTTCTAAAGAAGGGCCTAGGAGATCCATTACCATGATATTATATTCCCCTAAAGTATACTAAAAATATGTACCCTCTGTTGCACAATAGTAAACATTTGGAATTCCTTTATCAATCACTGAGGGTTCTTGTAACAAGTATTAGTATAATTTTCCTTCATAAAACAGTTGTGGATGCTTTGTGTTTACAGGCTCAAGTTTAACTGCCACTTCCATGTTTGTTTTGAGATTGATTCCATGAAATATTTCTCCAAAAGCACCTGAACCCAATTTCTTTGTTAATTTAAACGATCTCCCTATCTTTACGTCCATCTGAATTTTGATAAAGATTTTTAAAAATTCAAAAAAAATAATATAAAGGGAATGATTATTATAATGTTGTTTAAGTAATAACTAAAAAATAAGTTGATTTAAACATAGCAATATCTTATATTTTTATTAGACACTTTGTATTTAATAAAAAATGACTATTTCCTTCAAATAATTAGATCAATATTATTTTAAAATATGCGTATATAGATATCAGTCCTGACCTATGTCTGCACCAAAGGAATCATTGTCTTCGTCTTAATCAAGAATTTTTATAATTTTCTCCTTTTTCGCACTCGATTTATTTGCTTTCGCTTAACCCTTCCCATTCGGTTGTTTCCCTGTTTGTGATTAATATAACTCCTGCTCCTAGGAATATCGGTTTCTATCTTATTCTGCTTAATCATGATATTGCTATTTAGTTTTTGGTTAAGATACCTATTGGATTTCCTTGGGCAAATCTTTCCATTCACTAGCGATCAATTTTGTGATCTCTTAAAATTGTAAATCTAGTTTTACGTTTAATAAAGACTTGGATATTATGATTAGAATCTATCCTTCTTCTCCTAAAAGTAGAAAATGAAGGCTGATTTTGGCATTTTGGGAGCAAGAGGATCCTTTTGTTTTTTTTTTTATTTTTTTGCTTTCGTGACCTATGCTTTTGGTTGTTCCTCTGGTTCTGGGCTGGGAGCCAAAAAAGAATCAATTAAAGCCTTCAATTAAAGTAGAAAATTTTAGAACTTGCCTTGGTCTTTTTTCTATTTATGTTAATTTTCATTATTACATCTAACATCTCTCAATTAAGATTTTATGTAAAATAAAATATATATAGCTTATTTAGAACAACTTTGATGAAAAATAAAAATCAAAGAATTAGCACTAAATAATTAACAATATTATAGATTCAATAAATTTTGACAAATAATATTTCTATACACCTAAATCCCAAGTTACCGTTGGATCTTAAAGGATGAATTCAGATTAAATTCATCATGAATCAATGTACAATATATGTATTTCACTTTTATTAATGGAAAATCTTAATGAATTATATCTAATATTATCTATATTTTCATTTAATTTGAGAAGCAATTTATTATTAGCCTAACTATTAAATGATTTTAATAGAATTAGAAGTAATAATTTATAGATACTAAAAATAATAATATAACATTATTTAAATTAAATAGATTATTCAAATTTTAGAGACTTAATATAATATTGAAGTTAAAAAGAAACTAAGAAACAATTATTATATTGAACTTTAAATAGACAACGTTATAGTTTTAGATATATTCAATTGAATAGCCAATCCAGGATTGATTTTCAATACTATATTAAGTTTTAAATATCAATTAATAATAATGTATATAAAATATACTAATAATGAAGAAGAATCAGAATATGGCAGGGAGAAATTTATTATTGCCTAATTAATTTATAAAATATCTATTTATCACATAAAAAATTAATTATCATTCGCATTAGTAATGATAGAGTTTATTCAATAAATCAATCTTATTTGTAAATTTAATTTTCATCCTTCTGAGCTAAAAAGTTTTACCTGCAAATAAGATGAAAACCTATAAGATAACTATAATTATAATTAAAATCTAATAAAGATATTAAGCATTATTTCTTATCTATAAATTAATTGATATAATGGATGGAACAATCTTAAAATTTATAAGCAAAAGTCCAAAAGATATGTTAAAATAATTATCTGGATTACAAAAAGACTTTTATATTTTTAAGTGCAAATAGGAATTATAATTGCTGGAACTTATCAATATCCAAAAATCGATCTAAAAAATAAAATTGCCGTAAATTGAATGCATAAACATAAAGGTGATTAAAATTCAAAGAAGATCAATTATTAATTGATGAGAGAAGAAATAATATAGATTTAATAGATTTAGAAAAGGGAAAACGTAATAACGGATAATTTCATATCAGTTTAAATTAAGATTATAAATAAAATCAATATTCTGAATCACGATGAAATTCTAAAACGTCAAAAAAGTCTAATTAGAATTTACAGAAATNAAAAGTAGAAAATGAAGGCTGATTTTGGCATTTTGGGAGCAAGAGGATCCTTTTGTTTTTTTTTTTATTTTTTTGCTTTCGTGACCTATGCTTTTGGTTGTTCCTCTGGTTCTGGGCTGGGAGCCAAAAAAGAATCAATTAAAGCCTTCAATTAAAGTAGAAAATTTTAGAACTTGCCTTGGTCTTTTTTCTATTTATGTTAATTTTCATTATTACATCTAACATCTCTCAATTAAGATTTTATGTAAAATAAAATATATATAGCTTATTTAGAACAACTTTGATGAAAAATAAAAATCAAAGAATTAGCACTAAATAATTAACAATATTATAGATTCAATAAATTTTGACAAATAATATTTCTATACACCTAAATCCCAAGTTACCGTTGGATCTTAAAGGATGAATTCAGATTAAATTCATCATGAATCAATGTACAATATATGTATTTCACTTTTATTAATGGAAAATCTTAATGAATTATATCTAATATTATCTATATTTTCATTTAATTTGAGAAGCAATTTATTATTAGCCTAACTATTAAATGATTTTAATAGAATTAGAAGTAATAATTTATAGATACTAAAAATAATAATATAACATTATTTAAATTAAATAGATTATTCAAATTTTAGAGACTTAATATAATATTGAAGTTAAAAAGAAACTAAGAAACAATTATTATATTGAACTTTAAATAGACAACGTTATAGTTTTAGATATATTCAATTGAATAGCCAATCCAGGATTGATTTTCAATACTATATTAAGTTTTAAATATCAATTAATAATAATGTATATAAAATATACTAATAATGAAGAAGAATCAGAATATGGCAGGGAGAAATTTATTATTGCCTAATTAATTTATAAAATATCTATTTATCACATAAAAAATTAATTATCATTCGCATTAGTAATGATAGAGTTTATTCAATAAATCAATCTTATTTGTAAATTTAATTTTCATCCTTCTGAGCTAAAAAGTTTTACCTGCAAATAAGATGAAAACCTATAAGATAACTATAATTATAATTAAAATCTAATAAAGATATTAAGCATTATTTCTTATCTATAAATTAATTGATATAATGGATGGAACAATCTTAAAATTTATAAGCAAAAGTCCAAAAGATATGTTAAAATAATTATCTGGATTACAAAAAGACTTTTATATTTTTAAGTGCAAATAGGAATTATAATTGCTGGAACTTATCAATATCCAAAAATCGATCTAAAAAATAAAATTGCCGTAAATTGAATGCATAAACATAAAGGTGATTAAAATTCAAAGAAGATCAATTATTAATTGATGAGAGAAGAAATAATATAGATTTAATAGATTTAGAAAAGGGAAAACGTAATAACGGATAATTTCATATCAGTTTAAATTAAGATTATAAATAAAATCAATATTCTGAATCACGATGAAATTCTAAAACGTCAAAAAAGTCTAATTAGAATTTACAGAAATAAATATAAGATTAAAACAGATGGAAATTCTTATCACAAAAACCCAGCCTTCTAATAATAATGTAACTGTGTATTAAGAAGTGTAATATTCTTTTAAATTTTAATAATGGATAGATGTAGAATTTTACTCAAAAAAATCATAGGTCTTCATGGAACCAGAATCATGCTATCTAAATAAATTAAGAAGTCTGATAGAATAATATTCATTTTTCATCTTATTTACTTGACTAAATGAATTTTATAAAATAGTTAATTATATAATTTAGGGATTATTCTAACTTATTAAAATCAAATTGAACTATATTTTTAATGAATTCGCATTTTCTACTATTTATAACTCTTCCCTTTTTAGCTTAGTCAAACGATCTTAGTTTCTTCACAAGTGCTCCTTTGCAAAATTTAAATGGTGTCCTGTATACAGAAGGTTTAAATTTTCTCTAATACAAAGGTTGGAATTATGGATGTACTTTTCCTTTTGCTTAATTTCCGAGTGATTATATGTTTTTTGGTCTCGATTGCTTTTATGGAAGCTTGACTGTAGATGGAGCCTATATCATGATATATGATCTTCCTCCTCATCACACGATTAAGATAACATTCAAATATAAATCGTAAATATCTACCCAATCATTAGTTAGTTGATGCTTTAGTCTAGCTCTAATGAATAAGAATCTTATCTTTTTGCTGATGGAAAAATTGTTTTTTAGTATAGAATTATCTTATTTAGCGAGACCAATCATATCTAATTAAACTTTGGAGCATTTTCAACCCAATTTTCCCATTCAGCTGAAACTCTTCTTTTAGAGTATTTGCATTTAGGAGGGAAAATAGCAGTATCAATTTGTCTATTATACTAGTTATCAACATCTGGATTTCGAGAATTTACAGTTGATTTGCTATAGTGCCCCTCTGGCTGCCAAACCTGTGAATTAAACAACCTTGCTATTTGTAATAGTTGGCTCATGGTTGATTTTCAAATGAAAGCCAAAGAATTATAAAATTTCAATAACGATGGTTGGAAGCCACTTGGAGAAAAACCAGCCAACATTATTAAATGCGGAAGTATTATATTTGTATAAGAAAAGGTTAGACATAGTTTTATTTTTTTGGATTTTTCGATAAGACAACGACATTAGAAAAAACAGTATTTCTAGAACCACATTATGCAATATAGGTGTAATTTCTAATAATATACATTAATTTTAATCGAGATACAAAGCCAATAACTTCTGTTTTACTTGATGATGCAACAGTTTATGAAGTTGTTGAACTACTTGATGTTCTAAAGATGAGGATGTGTAACTTTATACCTATAGAATAAACAACTCAACTCAGGGGCGATCAAGCAATCAGGGTTAAAGTTTAAAATGCACATAATCAACCTAATTTAAAAATAACTCTTTCTTAACAATAAGGTTCAGACATTAATACACCATGGGGAATTAGGGATTTTAAAATATTATTGAAAAAATGCCATTCCAGCTGCTTGGAGAGCTGTTCAGGTCCCCTCGAATCTGATTGCTATAGTACAACTAAAGTTATGACTTAATTGATTAGTTTTTTTACTGACCCTCTCCTTAATTTACTTGATGGATGGAATGAAGTTTCCGTTTACACTGATAATAAAATCTGTAATGGTCAGTAAATTATTGGAGGTTTGCAAGATATCTCACTTTAAAAATTATAATACCCTATTTTTGATCTTCCAAAGCACAGTTAACTTACTATATCTCTTACATTTTATTAAATAGATTCGTTTCAAAATAACGAAAAATTTTATATTGAAGTTGATGATGTTAAAGATTTCGAATAATAATTACTTTATATTACTGATTATTCAGTTGGGACAAAACTATGTGGAAATTCTTAATAACTTGACACTTCATTTTAAATCAAAGTCAATTCTATAGCCCATACTTTTGATAACGCCATAATTAAATTTTACGTATTAGGAACAACTANTTGATTTTCAATACTATATTAAGTTTTAAATATCAATTAATAATAATGTATATAAAATATACTAATAATGAAGAAGAATCAGAATATGGCAGGGAGAAATTTATTATTGCCTAATTAATTTATAAAATATCTATTTATCACATAAAAAATTAATTATCATTCGCATTAGTAATGATAGAGTTTATTCAATAAATCAATCTTATTTGTAAATTTAATTTTCATCCTTCTGAGCTAAAAAGTTTTACCTGCAAATAAGATGAAAACCTATAAGATAACTATAATTATAATTAAAATCTAATAAAGATATTAAGCATTATTTCTTATCTATAAATTAATTGATATAATGGATGGAACAATCTTAAAATTTATAAGCAAAAGTCCAAAAGATATGTTAAAATAATTATCTGGATTACAAAAAGACTTTTATATTTTTAAGTGCAAATAGGAATTATAATTGCTGGAACTTATCAATATCCAAAAATCGATCTAAAAAATAAAATTGCCGTAAATTGAATGCATAAACATAAAGGTGATTAAAATTCAAAGAAGATCAATTATTAATTGATGAGAGAAGAAATAATATAGATTTAATAGATTTAGAAAAGGGAAAACGTAATAACGGATAATTTCATATCAGTTTAAATTAAGATTATAAATAAAATCAATATTCTGAATCACGATGAAATTCTAAAACGTCAAAAAAGTCTAATTAGAATTTACAGAAATAAATATAAGATTAAAACAGATGGAAATTCTTATCACAAAAACCCAGCCTTCTAATAATAATGTAACTGTGTATTAAGAAGTGTAATATTCTTTTAAATTTTAATAATGGATAGATGTAGAATTTTACTCAAAAAAATCATAGGTCTTCATGGAACCAGAATCATGCTATCTAAATAAATTAAGAAGTCTGATAGAATAATATTCATTTTTCATCTTATTTACTTGACTAAATGAATTTTATAAAATAGTTAATTATATAATTTAGGGATTATTCTAACTTATTAAAATCAAATTGAACTATATTTTTAATGAATTCGCATTTTCTACTATTTATAACTCTTCCCTTTTTAGCTTAGTCAAACGATCTTAGTTTCTTCACAAGTGCTCCTTTGCAAAATTTAAATGGTGTCCTGTATACAGAAGGTTTAAATTTTCTCTAATACAAAGGTTGGAATTATGGATGTACTTTTCCTTTTGCTTAATTTCCGAGTGATTATATGTTTTTTGGTCTCGATTGCTTTTATGGAAGCTTGACTGTAGATGGAGCCTATATCATGATATATGATCTTCCTCCTCATCACACGATTAAGATAACATTCAAATATAAATCGTAAATATCTACCCAATCATTAGTTAGTTGATGCTTTAGTCTAGCTCTAATGAATAAGAATCTTATCTTTTTGCTGATGGAAAAATTGTTTTTTAGTATAGAATTATCTTATTTAGCGAGACCAATCATATCTAATTAAACTTTGGAGCATTTTCAACCCAATTTTCCCATTCAGCTGAAACTCTTCTTTTAGAGTATTTGCATTTAGGAGGGAAAATAGCAGTATCAATTTGTCTATTATACTAGTTATCAACATCTGGATTTCGAGAATTTACAGTTGATTTGCTATAGTGCCCCTCTGGCTGCCAAACCTGTGAATTAAACAACCTTGCTATTTGTAATAGTTGGCTCATGGTTGATTTTCAAATGAAAGCCAAAGAATTATAAAATTTCAATAACGATGGTTGGAAGCCACTTGGAGAAAAACCAGCCAACATTATTAAATGCGGAAGTATTATATTTGTATAAGAAAAGGTTAGACATAGTTTTATTTTTTTGGATTTTTCGATAAGACAACGACATTAGAAAAAACAGTATTTCTAGAACCACATTATGCAATATAGGTGTAATTTCTAATAATATACATTAATTTTAATCGAGATACAAAGCCAATAACTTCTGTTTTACTTGATGATGCAACAGTTTATGAAGTTGTTGAACTACTTGATGTTCTAAAGATGAGGATGTGTAACTTTATACCTATAGAATAAACAACTCAACTCAGGGGCGATCAAGCAATCAGGGTTAAAGTTTAAAATGCACATAATCAACCTAATTTAAAAATAACTCTTTCTTAACAATAAGGTTCAGACATTAATACACCATGGGGAATTAGGGATTTTAAAATATTATTGAAAAAATGCCATTCCAGCTGCTTGGAGAGCTGTTCAGGTCCCCTCGAATCTGATTGCTATAGTACAACTAAAGTTATGACTTAATTGATTAGTTTTTTTACTGACCCTCTCCTTAATTTACTTGATGGATGGAATGAAGTTTCCGTTTACACTGATAATAAAATCTGTAATGGTCAGTAAATTATTGGAGGTTTGCAAGATATCTCACTTTAAAAATTATAATACCCTATTTTTGATCTTCCAAAGCACAGTTAACTTACTATATCTCTTACATTTTATTAAATAGATTCGTTTCAAAATAACGAAAAATTTTATATTGAAGTTGATGATGTTAAAGATTTCGAATAATAATTACTTTATATTACTGATTATTCAGTTGGGACAAAACTATGTGGAAATTCTTAATAACTTGACACTTCATTTTAAATCAAAGTCAATTCTATAGCCCATACTTTTGATAACGCCATAATTAAATTTTACGTATTAGGAACAACTACTGTTGGTAATTAAATTTTAAAAATTAGGTCGTTGGGGGATTAGAGAACTGTAGATTTAAGCAGATAAGAAAGTTTTTACCAAATCATTTGTAAAGGATGATAAATCGATGGTTTTTTGGTATAGTTTTACAGATGCCCTTCAAATAATGGATTGTTAAAATTAGAATTTTAAACTAGTTTATATTTAGAGAGATAAAATCCTACGTAAACAACTCACAAGCATTCCAAATCACTAGAGGATTTTAGTAAGTTTTGAAGTAGTTGTGATATATCAATTCAAATTCAATAATTCTAGATATCTTTATTTAAATATTGATGGACAAAATGTTTGGAAATAAAACTTTATCTTGACTTCCGAGATTAGTCTATGTGATAGTACTAATAGAAGCTAAAAATTCTTTTTTGAAGCATGGCTAGATCATTCAAGTTCGACAGCCATATTAGAGTTTTAAGCTGATGGAAGTATATCAAATATATTACATACTCATAGGTGGACTATTAGAACCAGCCATTTATTTTGGTCTCAGAAATATTAATATATAATATGAGAAGATTTTGGTATCCTGATAATGAATAATATTTATATCTAATTATATTCAAATTTCAAGGCAGGCAATCGATAACTTAGTTTACTTTCTTTCAGCTTTTCTATTTTACAATTCGTCTAATTCTGCCAATGTATTGGGTCTAAATTCTTTAATGAATTCATTAAAAGGAGTGCCTAGTTAATAATTGATTGAATCAGCCTGATTAACAATCTCTTACCAATTTTCATATAATTCTTCTCCCATTTTACCATTACTTTGAATAGTCATCTCAAAAAGTTTTACAATCTTACTCATGTAAGTTTCATTTACTCTAATATTTTTACTAAAACTTGAAAGCGCATTATATTGATTTTATGGAGGAAGATCTCTGATTAAATGATGAAATTCAAATTTGTTCTTTTCAAGTTCTTTTTATCGCCTTGAGAAATCTTAACNTTGATTAGTTTTTTTACTGACCCTCTCCTTAATTTACTTGATGGATGGAATGAAGTTTCCGTTTACACTGATAATAAAATCTGTAATGGTCAGTAAATTATTGGAGGTTTGCAAGATATCTCACTTTAAAAATTATAATACCCTATTTTTGATCTTCCAAAGCACAGTTAACTTACTATATCTCTTACATTTTATTAAATAGATTCGTTTCAAAATAACGAAAAATTTTATATTGAAGTTGATGATGTTAAAGATTTCGAATAATAATTACTTTATATTACTGATTATTCAGTTGGGACAAAACTATGTGGAAATTCTTAATAACTTGACACTTCATTTTAAATCAAAGTCAATTCTATAGCCCATACTTTTGATAACGCCATAATTAAATTTTACGTATTAGGAACAACTACTGTTGGTAATTAAATTTTAAAAATTAGGTCGTTGGGGGATTAGAGAACTGTAGATTTAAGCAGATAAGAAAGTTTTTACCAAATCATTTGTAAAGGATGATAAATCGATGGTTTTTTGGTATAGTTTTACAGATGCCCTTCAAATAATGGATTGTTAAAATTAGAATTTTAAACTAGTTTATATTTAGAGAGATAAAATCCTACGTAAACAACTCACAAGCATTCCAAATCACTAGAGGATTTTAGTAAGTTTTGAAGTAGTTGTGATATATCAATTCAAATTCAATAATTCTAGATATCTTTATTTAAATATTGATGGACAAAATGTTTGGAAATAAAACTTTATCTTGACTTCCGAGATTAGTCTATGTGATAGTACTAATAGAAGCTAAAAATTCTTTTTTGAAGCATGGCTAGATCATTCAAGTTCGACAGCCATATTAGAGTTTTAAGCTGATGGAAGTATATCAAATATATTACATACTCATAGGTGGACTATTAGAACCAGCCATTTATTTTGGTCTCAGAAATATTAATATATAATATGAGAAGATTTTGGTATCCTGATAATGAATAATATTTATATCTAATTATATTCAAATTTCAAGGCAGGCAATCGATAACTTAGTTTACTTTCTTTCAGCTTTTCTATTTTACAATTCGTCTAATTCTGCCAATGTATTGGGTCTAAATTCTTTAATGAATTCATTAAAAGGAGTGCCTAGTTAATAATTGATTGAATCAGCCTGATTAACAATCTCTTACCAATTTTCATATAATTCTTCTCCCATTTTACCATTACTTTGAATAGTCATCTCAAAAAGTTTTACAATCTTACTCATGTAAGTTTCATTTACTCTAATATTTTTACTAAAACTTGAAAGCGCATTATATTGATTTTATGGAGGAAGATCTCTGATTAAATGATGAAATTCAAATTTGTTCTTTTCAAGTTCTTTTTATCGCCTTGAGAAATCTTAACTAAATAATAATCGATGAATAAAATACTAATAATTATAGATTCTTTCATATCTAATTGGACTAAAGTATTTTAACCATATTTTTAAACTGGCAACTATTTAAGAGGATAGCTCAGTAAATTTGTGCTTTTTTTGTTTTATAAAATGAATCCAAGGCTCATCTTTAAGCAGTTTGAATTCTTTGTCTTTAAGATTCTTATTAAGCTCAGCAGATAATATCCATGTTAGACATTCAAATACACTTTTTATAGTATTGTCCTTCCATTGATTGACTCCAGTGATTTTGAATAACTTTTTTCTGGCTTCTTCTCCTTGAGAACGACATTCCTCTAATTCAGATAAAGTTAGTGACTAAGCTGAAAAGAAGGTGTCAAAGTACTCGTGACCTACCCAGTGGTAAGTGGTAGGGAATGTTAAAGCTGCTTGTTCTGTTCTTCTTCTTTCCAATTTTGTTTTTGGTTTTACTTTTCTTCTTTACTCTTTCAACAACATTTCTTATCTAATATCAACTTCTTCTTTCAATTCATAATTGGGTAGAAATTTTTTTATAATATTTTGTATTTTTGTTTTTAAGATTGTTCTCCTATAAAATAATTATTAATGAATATTACTCATCATTTAGAATGTAATTTTGATTTCCTTCTTCTCTAAGCACTTCCTAACTCAATGGATGCAATTCTTTCATTTGGTCTTTGTAGTTTTTGGTAAACAATTTGACTTCTTGATGATATTTGTCAACCAATAATCCAAAATATTTGAATTACTCACAGATATGAGTTAAGGTTTATTAATTTATACTTTTTGTTAACTTCTCAGCTTTATGTACATCTAAGTATTTTCTTATCAAATTAATTTAGTTATTGATTTTCTCTTCTAAAAATGGGGCTAGTCTAACGGCAGATCTCAAATAACTTAAAAAGGATGAGCAAATAAAAGGCCATAATTGCAATTTAAAATCCCCACATATTCCTGTTTCACAAATTATCAAATGTTCCTTCTCGTCTTGAATGAACTTTTCTTCAATTGCAAAAGCCACTACGCTGCCCTACTTATAGATGAAGATCAGTACAAAACTCATTAGTTTCTTTAGACTTTCAGACAAGACTTCCTGCTCAAAATTTTCAATTTTGCATTGAAATTATACGCTGTCCTCTTTTGTGTCATTACACACCAAAGTGCACAAGTACCAGACTTTGAAGGCATCAATCAAAGTCACGTTTTTATAAGATTGCAATTTCACTGCTCTCATCATTAGGTCATGATATGATACAATCCTTGATCTAAGTTACTCAGTTACTTTAAGGAGATCTTAGGCAACAATTAAAAGCTAAGGAATAAGTTTAGATTTACTTTATCGAGGTCAGGTAATGTAGTCAATTTAAGATCAGCTTCTATTTTTTAGAATTCATTTATTCTAGTTGAGGCACTACTTCCCATTTTAATTATATTAATAGATCTAAATATTATTTTGTTTGCATTAAATGATATAATTTTTCATAAAACTGCAACAGATTCAAAGAATTCAGTTTTAGTTTTGAAAATATATTTATATATTATGTAATTATAATTGTTGATTTTGAAACTGTTTGATTTATTATCAAGTATTCTGACTGAATATTCTATTGTTGCTGAGAATATTCAAAGATTAGATATAATTTATATATTTAAATTATTTGCAACAATAATAACATTTTTTTCGATCCATTTCATGTTTCTTTTTATTTGAGTTTATTAAAATATAATTTGCTTCTTCATAAATAATCGTATAAATGAAATTATTTTTGAATATTCATTCTCTGTAGAAATTAGATTGATTTTTAATTTATTTTTAAGACATTATCGCATTTTTACCTGTAGAGTTGAAATGTATTTCTCAAACCCTTTTTAGTAAGTTATCCTTTTATAAAAGTAAGAATTATCAACACTACATCTCTGAAAAATAAATATATTTTATGTGCTCTCACTGTAACTATGAATTTTTTTAAATAAACTATCAAATTGAATGATATTTAAGATTTACATTATAAGATTTTGTTAAAATCAATTATGCGAAGATTGGAGCCATTTATTCAATCATTTAGATTGTATTTCTACTAATTATCATTTGTAATGCAGCAATTTAAGGCTCATTCGCAATTATCCAATTAAGACTTTGGAAAGATCAAACTGAAAAGCATAGGCTTTGACATAGTAGTTTTTGAGATTAATAAAATATCCTATTTTATTTAAATATAAATTCTCCAGATTCAATTCTTATGTATCCAAGTAATAATAATAAGCACCATGACCAATATTTCTGTTCACTTAAAAATGGCTTAAAACCAAAAAGTAGGTATTTCAATCATATACTAGTAAGTTGCTATTAGTTTTTATTGTAGGGTATAAACTTTTCTTACAAATTACTTAAACCTTATGCTTTCTCCTAGAATGCACTAAGTACTTTTTAACTCTCATATTTTAGCAAAATTAAAATTAAGAAAGGACGAATTGAAATAGAATTTCTTTGAATTTATAATTTTTAACCATAAATTTGCATACCTAAAGTTAGGAGTCCATTACAGTCACACCCAACTCTATGCTTTATCTCATTCTATTAATAGACTCAAACTACGACTATACAAAATTTTACTTTAGCCTCATCGTAAAGGGAAATTATTGAGAGCACAGTTTAAAATTGAGAATATAGACTTTAGTAAGTAAACTTACAAGGAATTCTTTTGAAAACGGAAGAGTTATTTTTTCAAATTCAATACCTGCGTTTCCTGGCTGACTAGAAGTCCTTAAAATGTTTGAAAATTTTAATTTAAGAAATATGAAATTATTATTAGACAAATCAGAAACCTCGTCTTTATTCTAAAAGTTAAGAAATAAATTGCCTCGTTAAGTAAATATATATTAGAATTATAAGATATTATTATGTGATTTGCTTTCAGCCTACTCTTTTAGTTTAGTATGGATATTAAATTGATGTTAAAAAATAACAAAAATGTTATTATTAAACTTTAATATTAACTTTAAAGATACATATATTACATTAAGTAGTCAAAATAAGAATTGTAATGTATTTTAAGTTTAAATATTTAAAATAAATAATAATTAATGTTCATAAATCAGAATAAGAAAGATAGAAATCTCTTATTCCCCAATTAATAGAGATACTATCAATCGATAAGACTAAAAATAAATTTTCATTGGAATGAGTAATGATATCATCAAATGTATAAGCTTTACTTAATATTGAAGTTTCACAATATTAATCATTTATCAAAGTTAAATATTTAGTTTTTTAATTTTCATTTTCATCTAATTAATAATTAATCTAAACTGTATTTTCAATTATACTTGTATAAGTAAGGATTATGGTAAATTAAATTCTAATTCTTTTATGAGTAGGTATATTAAATATAATTTTTCTGAATTTTGAGAATTATCCTAAATTATTATTGCTTATTATGTAATTTTAGTTTTTGCAAGTATCAATCACTTATAATTTTTATGTTATTTTCCAAGGAAATAATAACCAATCAATAATTTAAAATCTGAGTGATTTGAATTCCTAGATGTAAACATTTTAATCTTATTTGATATAAAAATCTCTAATTCCCCAATATCCTTAAGATGTCTGTGGTTAATTAGTATAAATTTGTATTATACTTTATTTTTGAGTGTGTGAAATTACATCTGTTGAAATCTTTAGAACTTTATCATATTTATCGTAAATTCCACATAATGGATTTGCTTGTGTTAAATCTATTATTGATTCTATGACTGTTTAATATACTATTTGATCATCAACAACAACATATAATATATCATTATTAAAATTATCTATCTGGTAAAACTTAAATGAAATTTAAATTGTTTTATGATCTTAAAAAGTAACAATTCTTTAAATAAAATAATCACCATTTAATTAGAGATAACCACCAAAGATTGATAAACCACTACAATAATTTGGCGACTTTGGTTAGTTTGGAGTTATCATTTGCCATTATTAAGTGTCTGTAAATAAAGAATCTGTAAAATAACTTATAAAATTTTTGAATTCTGGATACTTATCTCTTATACACTAAGTATTTTTTGGACCAAAACAAGTATCAGTACAATCCTGATGACATTTCTTAATATAAATTTCAAAGTTTCTGATAGTCCACTTGAAGTTTTATAAGTATGACTTACCTCCTTAACTATAAGTCCTGAATTTTAAAATTGTATCTTAATGAAAGTTTTCGTAACTTGTCTACAAAATGTAGTCTCCATAACTTATGGGATTCCTAAATTTGCAAACCTTGGATCCTTCTGTATAGGTAGCAATTTTGATATCAGAAACAACAATATCATTTAATTCAAGATTAAAATAAGTGTACATAGAAGATTCAGCTCCTAGTAAGAGCAACTTGTACTAAATAATCATTTTATAATGAGGCTTTAAATGAACTGTTTTTTCAATAGATTAAGTCGATGATGCCAATCCAATTAAATTGATAGCTTTGTCATCTAATTTCATAAAATAATATAAAAACCTTGACAATACTCAGTATTATATATGTTTTGGCCTTAAAAATTGATCAACCAACCTTCATTCAAAGGATTTGAATCAGCTAATGAGCGATGACCTAAAGACCACAAATTACAATCACTGGACTTTAAATCCTTAGTTTAACAAAATAAGCACCCAGCAGGACATTTTTTGTAATATAGTTCAAACTCTCGAAATCCAAAAGTCAAAGTCTAATAAATTTTATTTACAATTTACTCTAATAATATTTTTCACGGAAAAAAGGAATTCAATTATAACAGAAGGTGATGATGATATAAAAGGTAATTAAAAACTCGTTTTTTTGTAATTATTAACTATATCTAAAGGATTTTCTTCATTCATAATTACAGCTCCATTTGCTCTAATAACAATTGCACCTAAGCCTCCTTGGCCATAATTTGATCTACATATATATATAAAATTAGAAACATTAATGTTTTCACATTTATAATTAAGAAAGAGTGCGGAGGAATGTTGTCATAAATTTTATGCATTCCAGCAGTGTAGGTCTTATCCGGCTCTCCATTTAACGAATACAATCCTGCATAGTCATCATCACTTGCAGATAATGAGCCAAACCCTGATTTTAATGGATTTTCAGGGTATAATCTCCAACCTAAATAGTCTAACAAATTACCTTCTAAGTTAACAAGCTTTTTATCTGTGAATGAACTAGCAAATAATATAAGTTCTTAGCTAACAGCATGAGCAAAGACTATTGATATAACGAAGAATTGCATCAAAAATATTATAATTATGATTATTCTTGTAAGTTTATTTGAACTTATTTATTTTTAAATTTTAAACAAATATTGCTTTGAATCATCAAATCGTAGCCAATATGTAAATTTGACATCTTCCACAAACTATGTACATATATAAACTTATATCGTCTTGATGTGAAAATTATTTGCAAATATTATATAAAGTTAATTTTTAAGACTTTTAAAGTAAAATTTCTAAAAGTAAATTATGCCCAAAATATATTAATTTATTTTATCGTATTATGAAGAATCAATGATAATAATTTTCCATTTATTTTATACTTTAGCAAGTGACAATTTTAAGATATAATAGCAATACTTTATGTTATGGATTAGTTAGAAAGCTTTTCAATCGCTTGAGATTTGAAATTTTGAATAATTTCGATACTGAAGAAACTGAAAAGGTCTTCCTCTGATACCTTTGGATTTCATATGCTTATCCAAAACCAAAATTTCTTCCATATGCTTGTTCTACATTCCATTAAAATACAAATGTTATTTTTAAATTCCCTTCATTTAATATAAACGATTAGAGCGAGAATCTTCAATTTTTAAATAAAATTTACAGACTTGAATTTTCCTCATTATTTCCATGAATCTAAAATCATATTATAGGAAGTAATTAAAAATAAAGTATAAATGCAGTTAATGGAGTATGGATAAATTTTTAAAACAGTTTATTGATTTTAATAAAAGATTAAATTATTAGTTAACAATAAAATTTTAATAATTTGTTTAAGTTACATGAATAAGTCCTTGTTTTAGGAGCATTCGAAAAGTTTGCCTCCATTTTTTGCTGAAAATATTTTATATTTAGAAATGGAAGTAGAATGCAATAATGTCACAATAGAGGTTGTCAATTAATTGTTAGAATTATATCGAGTAATATTTTAGGATTCAACTAGATTGGAGTAGAGTATTTCGAATCCATAAAAAGCAATAAATTTTTGGTTTTCAAAAATAAAACGTAATAATTGTTGATGAAAGGAAATGTCAATCAATGCATGAATGTCGCATATGAAGAGTTAAAAATTGAAACAGCCTTAAAGAAGTCTAAGCATGTTCAAAGTCATGATATTCTCCCTCCTCCGTCTCCAAAAGTCATTATTCCCTAAAAATCTTAAAAACAATAAGAATTAGAAAATCAATTCAAATACATTTAGGAATAGGATTAAAAGTTGTAAGTAAATCAGCTTTTAGAATTTCATGGCTATGAATAATAGAGAGTGACAAGAATACACAACAAGTTGTAATTTACAATATAATAGAGCTCTCTAGGAATAGGAGGATCAAGTGTAAATGCGATTGCAAAGACGAAGATTACAATCGGTTAGACTCAAAGGATAAAAAGAGTGATCCATTACTAATTAATAATATCTATTTGTATGTATAAAAATTGGAAATTATCATATTTACACTACATTCCTTTGATTAATTTATATATAATATTAACGTTAAAACAATGAATCAATTCTCTAATTACTTATTTCAATACTAAACAAAAAAAGTGTTTTCAATCTACTAACATTAATGCAACAGTAAATCACCATAGATAAGAAGATAATTAGATTCAAATCCTAAATGCAATGCAAATGACTAAAAGTACATGAGATAATTCAAATGCTATGATTAATTAAAACATCAGCCACAAACACAGACTAACATAAACTCTCCAACAAATAAGTAAACTTATATTGCAAGTAAAGTCAAAGGAAAGGGGAAAGAAAATAATAATTAATAAAATGCAAACATAATTCATTATCCTTACAAAAATCCTGTAGAACTAAAAAGCCCTTAAAGTTACAAACAAAATCCATATCATGCTAAATAACCTACACCTGAATTTGAAAATAGATATGAAAACGATGAAAGAGCATAAGTATTGCGATTATCAAATTCTGGATTAAATTTCCGTTTTGTACTTTCACAACAAGAATCAGAATAAAATTCAGAATAACAACCCAATTAGGTCTATAATGAGTCTTCATAACAATCACCAACTAATTTAACAAAATCAGACGAACTTTTAGTTGAATTAGATTCAGTCAGAAAATCAAAATGTTCCAATTTAACGAAAACAAAAACAATAGCTATCTAGGCATTTGAGAGTACAGAATTTGATAAAACTGAAGATCAATTAAATAAAATTTTTGGATCTTTGAAGAAAGTTAAGATCATTAAAAAAAAGTTCTCTCAACCAACTATCCAAACTTAAGGTACTCAAAGAACAATGGAAGATGATAGTATGATCAAAGCAGAACCAAACAAATAAGTAAAAACTATTGGTGGTTCATCGAATATTGACATTTAAAGTATGCAATTAAGAACAGAATTAACAGACTTGGTAATATAATCTATCATTACATTTTAGGATTCATAAAGAAGTAAGAGCACCTATTAGGATGAAAGTGAACGACACTTTAGTAGTTTTCGACACAATGTTGTAACTCCTAGAAAAATGCAATAAAATAAAATAAGTAAACATTTTATCCTAATTAAGGTTTCTTAATGTACAAAAAGAAATTGGAAAGAAAGTAATGAAATTCTTTTTAGTTTTATTCATTTTAATCAATTAAAACAAATTTATCAATAATAAATTCTAGTTTATTATGGTTATTTCATTTTATATAATATGAATATAGTAAGTTAACTTTTTGAGATTTCTTATTCTTAAATCAGGAAGAAATCATTATTTTTGCTGATCCATTTTAATTAGTAGTCATCAAATAGATGGCATATTATAAATATAAATATTTTACTATTCTAGTTGAAGGTTCTACTTTTACATACCCAATTTATTGAAATAAATAATAACATATATAATCAATTCCTTTATATACTTTCTATCAATTTAAGCGTTTAGACACAATGCTATTTTGTTTCTTTTCCTGGCTTAATGCATAAAATTAGAATGCCTTTATCCTTTTTATCTCTAACGAATCCCTATTGTCCTCGACATACAAGAACATGTTAATCACTTTATGCAATTAGTTGATAATTCTTTAAATCTGCTTTTAGACTTTTGATTGTCGATTTAAAATCATCATTGATTTGAACATTAAGTTATTTATTAACTTGATCTGCTTGGATGGATAACTTAAAATATTTAGGCATAACTTTTTTAATGAGTTCTATAAACAACTATTATTTGCCACTGTGATTCAATCCTATTATAGTTATCAGTTTTTATCCAATAACATCATTTGAACTACTCAAAACTGGTTAGTTCAAGTAATAGTATTTTAAGGAGTGCACAGTTCCGTCTTAATTTAATTTTTTGATTTCGATTCTTTAAGGAGTCATCAGTTTGATTTCATCATTCAGTCTATTTGCAATAGGAAAATATAGGTAAGGCAATTATTAATTGGTTTGATGATTGGATTGAGAAGCAATTCTACTTTCATCGATGGGTTTGGATTCGTATTGATTGATGAAGCTTTTTAAACTATTTAAGTATTCTCTGGCTGCTCTTGGTGACATGGCTTATCGCAGCGTAGGAGATTGATATTGAGACATAATTGATTAATCGGCCAATTTCTCTTATGGTCTATTCTATCTAGTGAAGGGGGTTTTAGTGATTATGTGACCATAGGGAGATTTGATTAGGGAGGATGAGCTATTACTATAATACATTATAACAGATATTAAAATTATTCTTAACAAATACATTTATAATTGAATAAGATTTATAACCATTTTATCAATATTAATTAACGAATAAAATAAAATTAATGAATAACTCAAGATCATCTGCTAGAAAGGGAACCAATAATCTCCCAGTTTAAACTGGAGATATCGAGGAATACATGTAAGATTCTCAATCAAACCTAGATAAATATTATATGAGCATCAAAAGAGCTGCGAAAAGGCTGGAAAATATTTAGAAGCTGATCAAGCAAAAAAAAGACTTGCTGAATTAAAAAAAGAATTGGATCAAAAGAATAAATATGAAGTCAAGGATAGACATACTAATGAAAAATAGGAGATCGAGAAGGCCCATCTTGATGAATTTAATCAATTTAACGAATTCTGGGATTAAAAAATGGCTGAATTCGATTCAGAAGCTCAAAGAGTTAAAGAATAAGTCCTACAAAGACACGATGAAGAGTTGAGATAATTTACAGAAGAATTGGAGAACTCCATTCCAGTCAAGCCCAAAGACTCAGCTGAATTACTCAGTTTGAGAAAGACTGAAGAATCATTAGCCAGATAAGAGAAGTATTATTTCAATCCTATAATTTAGTTACTAAGAGGCTCATCTCACTCAATAAAGAATACTCTCCATGGAAAGAGACGAATATGAAAAATGGAATGCCTCAAGAATGAGCAAAATCAGAAATCTAATCTCTCAACTTAAACTTAAGTAAACCAATGAATTGGGTGCATTATAACAAAGAATCATATCTGGATAGGAAGAATAAAGGAAGATTAGATCTTAAGAATTGGAGAAGTATTTTAAATTAAAATATCATAGATTACTATAGAAGTATTAGAATGTCCGAAAGGAATTAACTAGTTAATAAAACTAGGAGATTACAAGACTTGATAAAACAATGAAGAATCAATCCATTATGTAATAGTCTAGAATGAATTCTTCTAAAATGATGAACTCTCAAATGAAAAAAGGAGATGAAGAAAACTTCTATCTAAAATGACCATTATTATATATATATAACTTAATATCAATAGATTTTTTATCTTAAAAATTTTTTTATTTTATTTTATTTTATTGAATATGTAGAAAAATGAATTTTAATTTGTAGAAGAAATGGTAATGGAACTATTTTCATTGATAGATAAGAGTTCGAACCAAAGACTTAAACACTCTCTTAAAGAACCAAAACAATCAATTTACCAATCACTCCAAATTCTTAAAGAATATGATGAAGAATAGCAAATATCTAATTTTTTAAAAAAGAAATTCGAAAAATTACTCTAAATTGCTAAAACTGATAACCATTTATAAATAGTTTTAGGTAACCAACAACAATGGTTTTCATTTTTTAACAAAAAATTGATTGCTGAGGATAGATTTATTGAATCTATTTGTTATATATCGAAAATGATGTAAAATTAATGCAATACTTACTCAGTCACTTATACTCAATATTTATCACAGGAATGCATTTTATTGAACTCAAATCAACTTATCACAATCCAATTCAATTTTGATGATTCTCAAACTTGTATTACATTTGTGGCCCCAAAAATAATAGAAACTAATTTATTTTTGGTAGACATTGAATTATAGAAGCTTTTGTAAAAGATTCCGAATTTAGAATAAAGGCTGAATTATGCTGAAATAAATCAGCATATCTTAAAGTTGTGTTTCGATCAATCGAATAAAACTATCAAGTTTTGGAGTAATAATGAAATTCTAAGCTATCAATTGATTTGCAGGTATGGATATAATTATTTTAGAAAGTCTAAATAGCTATTAGATGATATCAATTACAAAATCTACTTAGATGTTGGAATGATAATCAAATTATCACAAAATCATAGCTTAATAATTGAAGAGTTAAATTTCAAAGATAATTAACCAGATGATATTTAGGATGAAATATACCCAATCTACTTATAAAAAGAAAGTGAAAATTAAAGTCATATTAAAATTAGTGATGGCAATTAAGCTGTTCTCCTCTCTTTACCATTAAATAGCTCGATTAAATTAAAAAGTAAATTGGAAATGCCAAAGGAAGTTGATGTGATTTTATTTCATGATAATAAAGGATATTATCTGGAAATAGAGACTGAAAAATTAGACTATCTTCCTCAATTGTTATCTGCAAGGACATAAGACAGATAATTGTAGTTGAAATCCAAGAATTTAAACTTCGTTTTGGGATTCATAATATTGGGACAAACTAATATTTTGATGAAAATAGACTTGTAGACAATCTGGAATGGAGAGGGGTTATTTGAAATCTGATGAATAATATCAAAAATAAATGTATCATTAGCAACCTGGACATTTATAAAGTTCAATTTATTCTGCTTCTTCTGGTTTTATATTAACACAATCCAAATGAAACCACTCTACACAAGTTTCACATTGAATCATTTAGATATCTGGGTTTTAAGGCATTCTACACACACATGATTTTGGCCATTCGCCAACTGTCGGCATAGGTTCCATCGTTTTAAGATCTATGGCTGCTCTACTGAAGAATTTCGTTTCTTCTTCATATTCCAATTATGTGTATTGATCAAATGTCATCACTTCTATTGGACATTATAATTTATTAGCCGCCAAAAACTCAACATGAGTAGAAAAAAACAATTCCTTTATTGAAATACATTTCATGAGTTTCTTATCTAAATTTAAGTCTTGTTTAGTGTAATACCTAACATAAATATGAAATAACAAATACCATTGAACCTATATTACAGGAACATACTGATTATTTTAATCTTTAATGCAATAAATCTTGATTAGTTTTCCTGAGTATACATCATTGTTATTAGCACAAACAGCAACATCTTAATTCAACCTGAAGATTTAATTCTTTATTTTTAAGGAGTTGTATTGTTTTAGTCTAATGCATAAACAATAGAAGCTTACCTACTTGGATCTCTTTTAGAAATCAATTAGATAAGTGCAGCGTATTTTTATTCCCTAATTAATTCATCTATCTTTTTCTGAGATATTGAAGTGTCGTCTTCTTTCATAATTTTAATTTTGATTCTAGATCATTACTCTTTTCGATAAAATCAAAGTCCTGAATTTATTTGGGACCAATTTTATAATAATTAAAAATGTATGCAATTGATTTTATTTGATTAATATTAAATTAAAAGTGTATACTGAATGTCATCATTTAGAAGAGTTCAAGAGGTTATATGATAGTTTATATCTGTTATTAATAGAAAAAAGTATAAATAACACTTGAGATATTCATTAATTGATATTATCAAAATGTCAATAAACTTAGGTCAAAATACTTCCTTTTAATCTTTTTATATTCTTTTAAGATTTTATTAAGTCAAAATGCTTATATAATATTTTCAAATTGATAAATAGCCAAACTCAGAAATAGTATTAATTTTAATTGAATATAAATTTAAATAAGATCTAAATAAAACTATAATGATGATATTTAAATCATTAATATAGAACCTAATCTTTAAGTGAAATTCTTTGAATCAATGCAATTATATTATGAAAATTTAAATGCTGACGATCATGAAACTGGAGGACTAATTATAGTTTGTATTTAGTTTTATTTGCAAAGTACGTCCTACATCTACTAGTAACAAAAATAAGAAAATATCAGACGAAAAAGGAATGATAAATAATGAAAAGAAATCAAAGAAACAATAATATTGCTATTGCATTGTTGAAATCTAAATAAACTTATTGCAAGAATTAGGATTGAAGTTAAAAGATATCAAAAATTGAATATCTTAAATTTATATAGATTGTAGTACTATAATTGATTTCAATATCTAGGTTTTCTATTCGTGGCCATTGTCTTTCTCTCTTATCGCATACAGGCATCTTAATATAATCTTTAATGAGCATTTGATTTTGTATTTGTATTAGTATTACATTTACTCTTAATTACTCCTATCAATGATATATTAATATTTACTATTTTGATTTAGAGATTCTGAAAAAATCGATTTACTCATTGATGATTTTGAATGCTAATCTCTGGTTTTGGGAATGTTTGAGAAATATTTGACAGGACTTTTCTATGGTGGTTGATTTTCTTGTTCTTCATAATATATTTTGTTCTTATTGACTAGACTCATTTAACTAAATTGATTTGTAATTGATTACATAAATTTTAAGAAGGAATCATCGTCTTCATTTTTTGGTTATGGGATAACAGTTAGAGAAACAGTTTAGTTATTAATTGATAAGTTGTTGGTTTTTTAACTAGAGAGGGACTTGGAAGCAGATGGCTGTTATGAAATTAAGTTGGTTTCTGTATTTCTTTTATCTAATTCTTAAATGACTTTGTTGAGGATTTGTTCAGTCATTTAATCGAAGTTAAATTCGTGATCCATCTTTTGTGGTGATCTATATATTAAAGGCAATTATTATGATGTATTTTGTGTGCCTAAGTCTGATTATTATGATTGAGTGGATTGATAATGTTACTGAAGATAATGGATGTTAACTCTTGCGGAAGGAAGATCATCAGTAGATTTCATTTGGTTATCGTCGCATTGTATTTGGACTTCTCGAGTGGTCAAACAGGATTAAGAGTATGTTGAATTTTATCTTTATGAGATTTAGAATGAATTTCTTTTGAATGATGTATCCGACTGTTACTCAGTGAGATCAGTCTGTGTGTCAACTGATTATCTATTTAACTTCAATTGCGTTATTTATTTAATCGGAATAGTTTTTTTTGTCGATTGTTAATAAGCGCTTTGCTTTGCAATTTAGGCTTGTTATTTTCGAAAATTGATTATGAAATCTCTGATGGATGGAGATACTTCATCTCTGAAACTCTTTGATTCTTGCTTATCTAATAAGGACATATATTCGTTAATTATTATTATTTATAATTGTATACACACTCAGTAATTATAAATTTATATGATTAAAACATTTGAGATCAAGAATCATAAATGAAAAATATCACAATAGTGTTTGAATATTTAATCATTAGCCTCTATGAGTCTAAATACTAATAATGGAATTGAAACTATAAATTAAAATTATTAACTATTACGAAATTTATACTAATTATGAATTTTAATGAGTAGAATTTATATAGTTTGTTGAGTAATCTTAAAGATACTAATTAAAAGGGGTCTCTTTCATTATAATTATTGTAAATGTAATGAGATAGTTGTATAATACTTGTAAATGTAATGAAGAAAAAATATCATTCATAAATATTCTGATGTATTGTAGGATTTTTTATTTATTGAGGATAAGGATTTTAGAATTTCTGTGACATTGTGATTCACAGATTGTTATTTGACGTCTTCATCGGTGTCGCAATCATCGTCTTGGGTCTGAATTTAAAATAAATTGTACTCTTTTTTTTAGTTTGCATAAAATCTCTTTTGAAAATTATAAATATTTTTCATTATAACAAGGATAGGAAACGTAAGATTCTGATTTTGGATTAAAGAATTTCGCATCGGGTAATCTGCCAAGAATTTTTTAATATTAATTGTTAATGGAATGTTTCAACTGCAATTTTTGCTATTATTTTATGGTGTCATAATTGGTTAAGTCAGTTAACTTACGAATGCCATCGGATTTGAGATATTTTGTAGAATGGGTGGAACTAAAAAATGAGCGCTAATTTTTACTTATTCTCTTTGGTTTACATTAGATTAATTAAATATCAAAAGTGAGAATATTAATTTAAATTTATCAATACAATCAGAGAATCATTCAAAATAAAGTAAACAATTAATAAAAATCAATGAAATGTCAAAGAAATGAAAACCTATTATTAATTTATATAAAATGATTATATTCATAATAGCAACAGTGTCTTGTCTGGACATCAATTTGACAAATCTCCAATTTAATTATTATAGTTTACCTATATCAGCAAATAATATTACATATCATCTCATAGTGGACACTGGAAATGAAGACATGTGGATATTTGGAAAGAATTCCAATAGAAGAATTTACTACGAATGCCAAAAGTGTGCATCATCAGAGAATCAAACATTGGAATATGCATAGGGCAAGATCTCTGGAGTCAAATACAATCAAACCTTTTCATTGATGAATCAATCTTTGGATTTGCAAGTAATCGAAGCCTCAAAAGTCGAACATTTTTATTCCATAATAGCAGATGGGGCTGTTGGATTAAGCAGGAAATAACTGTCTAAAGAAGACAACATTTTGAAGAAATTGTATGATTCAAAAGTGATTGATGACATGCAATTTGGGCTTTTATTAAATGAATAAAATTGTTAGCCTACATCTATGTTGATTCTCGGAAAACCAAACAAAAATTACTATATCAATGAATTGTAATATGTAAAACCAATCTAATCCGAATAATGGACAGTGAGAGGTATATCAATAGAAATTGTGGGGAAAAACAACAAATATGAATTAGAATCGTACTCTCAACTCATAACATTTCACAGTGGCGTGTCTAAAATCCTAATTTCAAAATACAAATTGAACAAGCTTATTGCAATTTTCAATGAGAATTACCAATTGAATTGTGAGAAAGAGTCCTAGAATCAAATCACTGAAGTGGTATGTTCTTATAATGAAGAATCATTTCCTGAATTGAATATTAATATTGATACTAATCTTAGTTTAACACTTTTGCCACAAGATTACATAGCGTATTGCGATTACAATTACTTTTTAAAGCACATTTGCTATTTAAACTTTTAATAGATCGACAATTAAGATGTTTTGGTTTTGGGTTCTGTGTTTTTACAAAAGTATTACACTCATTACGATGAGACAACATAGTAAATTGGTATTGCTAAATCGATATATTATTGTAAGATATAAATTAATTTTAGAAAGGGATAAATAGAGTTTGAGTTAACTTGGAAGCAACGCCAATAATAATAGCATGTTACTTTTCTCAATCCTCTTGGTGTTGGTTTTGTTAATAGTAATTTACATTACAATTAAAATGCTATTAAAATCATCAATCCATTTATATCTGTCTGTCTTAGAGAAGTCCTCTTCAAGGTCATAAGAACAGGAAATGGAAGCTATCACATTGAAGACTCAATCAAATAGTTAGCCACCCTTGACAACATGAATCATATTCTGTATTTTCGGTTTACCTGTATATTACGTGTCAACATAATAAATTATAAAACAAATAGTATAAGCCAGGAGCAGTCAAGTGTTTTGGTAAATTCAAAGTACTAGCCCAACACATAGAGGAACAATTCAAGAAGAGAATTGAATGTATTCTTTTGTTGAACAATTGAGTTTTAATTAAGTGGTTCTGTATTAATTTTTGTTCCCAATATAATTTTCTAAATATCTTTTATAAATTTAAAGAGTTTGAATACTTTTTTTGAAGTGTTATTTTCTATCTATTAATCAAATACGAGGATTTTTTGTGCGTGATGTTAAATTCTATATTAATAACATTTAAATGTGAGTATAAAATCTTAAAAGCTATCATTTTGATTTAATATTAAAAATGATGTAAAACTAAATGGAAATTGAGAAAAAATTCAGTTAATGTGGTGATTATAACATCCTTTAGACTCTTGGGTCTGGACTTCATGCAAAGTACTTACCTTTTATATTATTTAGAGTGAAATTGGGAGAGCATGACGGAAAGAAAGTGGCCATTAAGATTTTCAAGAGTAACCATGGCACAGCTGCGAACATCAAAACACTCACCAATGAAATCAACATTCTCAAATAGCTAAATCATCCCAATTTAGTTAACCTTATTGAATTCAACAGTGCTCTTCAATATAGAGTAATCATTCATTAATATTTAAATAGAGAAAAAATGGATAAAAAGAACAACGTGTATGCATTATATTGGAATTGGCTGAAGGAGGAGAACTATTTGAGTACGTAGCCTCATCTGGAAGATTTTCTCCAGAAACTTCTAGATTTTACTTTAAATAATTATTGTCTGCAATGAGTTACATGGCAAGCAAGGACATCTGCCATAGAGATTTGAAATTGGAGAATGTCTTGTTGGATGAAAACTTCAATCTCAAAGTTGCTGATTTTGGATTCGCCAAAGTCATGGAGACAGCCAAGATAAGGACAATCCTTGGAACACCAGGTATCAATTATAATATTAACATTTAGGGTACATGGCTCCAGAAATACTTGCTAAAAAGGATTACAATGGAACCAAGGCAGACATATTTTCTGCTGGTGTTATTTTCTTCATTATCCATGCCGGATCCCCACCCTTCTCAACAGCCTCTGAGAAGGATCAATATTTCAAATTGATATTACTCAATAAATGGGAGTAATTTTGGACATTCCATTTAAAATACAAGGGAGGAAACCCTGAATTTTTCCCACAAGAATTCAGGTATTTATAAAAGAATTATAATTTTATAGAAATTTGATGATGGGAATGTTGGCCCCAAATCCAGATCAAAGATTCACTTTGGAATAATGTATGTAACACCCTTGGGTAAATGGACCTGTTGCCACTTTAGAATAAATTTAAAATGAATTCAGAAAGAGACATGAAAGAGTTCAAGCTGAAATCTAAGCTTCAAAGATGAAAAAGCAAGCCTAAAAGAATGCAGCCAATAGTATTTAAATTTAATTATCTCATAGAAGGACCAATTGGAGTCTTTAGATCTATCATTGGAGAAAGCGAAGAGGAGAACTTTGATGAGATAATCAATAATTATAAATTGAATTTTGAGAACAGATTCATGATCAAAGGAAAGGATCAAGGATTACCAACTGACATCATTGTCTATTAGGACCCAAAGTTTGTGTTCTGTTATTTACTCAAAAATTGTGAAGAGTTCAACTGCAAAGTGGACAAAATCCATGAGACCAAATACAAAGTATAGTCTTAATTTGATTGATAGATTAACTTTGCTGCTGAACAAGATGAAAACTTAGCATTTTCACTTGAGCTCTTAGATTGTGAGGATGAAAAGATCAAATTGAACTTGACCAAATTGTCAGGAGGTTATATTTAATTCAAAGAGATCACAAACAGACTCAGAACTGCCCTCAACAAAAATTATGATGGATTCTTGTAACAGGAAGTTTAACAAGATTGAAAATATGAATCAATTTAAATCATCTATAATAGTAAGAATTTAAATTAAAGTCTTCATCGTCATCATCGTCATCGATTATCGCTCGCTAAGCTCGTTTAGGTTTGACAGGCTAAATGGATTTTTGTTATGACTTGATGTAGTTTTGCTCTTGATATTCAGCCTGCTCAGCCAATTCAACTAACTTCTCCTTTTATCTCTCAATATTTCTACTCTATTGAACCAAGACTCTGCAATACAATATTAAAACATATGCATAATCACAGTTTTGCACTTCCTATAAATCTTGGCCCAAATGCTTATAATAATAGAATAAAGGTACTAAAATTAGGTAATAACTTATCTTACTCTTTTTGTCTTTATAATCATCTGGCACTTCATCATCATTGTCGAATTCATAAAATCGACTCCTAAATTGATTAATCTTACTCAAAAATGTATATATGAAATCTTGAATGTTCCCCTCCTTTATTTCTTCTCTCCAGGCATTCCTACTCTTTGGATATGTCCAATTTAACTGTAGATATTACCGAAAGAACAATGTGATTTTTTCTTCTATCTCCAAAATCATGTTTACAAGAATTTCATCCAAATTATTTACATCCTTGCAAAATATCAAGTATTCTGGTTTTCCTTCTTGCTTTTTGAATTGATGCAATCCAGTTTGATCCAATTAAAATTAAATATCTTTACTTATTGATATTACTCGTTTTTCATTGCAGATTTCTTCGGATTCTAATTCTAAACATTCTTTCAAAGGACCATCGTCAATTTTGTCGATTAATTTATGGATTTCATCTCCATAAAGCAAATTGAACTTTTTGTTTATTTTAATCAAGACATAATTGGGCATTGCCTAAATAATCCAAACACAGTATTCATGATCTCTCAATAGAATTTTCATAGAATTCACTCCAAATTTTTATAATTCTTTAATGTCAATATCAATTAGATTATTTAATTTTATTATCCTCTCATCAATTTACTCCTTCTCCTTCTCTATTTCCTTTATCCTCTTCTTATTTGAAATGGCCAATTGTTTCCTACTCAAGATCTTACGTTCCTCAATTATGATTTCATCTTGCTAGCCATACAGTTCATGCAGCTCTTCCTACCATTGTTTCTTGGACTCTTATTTCTTTTCTTTCACAATACCCTTTTAAAATAGCTATATCTTGTTTTAAATCACTCCATTAAACCATTTGCTCTGAAACGCTAATATATTAACTATAAAAATTAGGATCTCTATTTTGGTATCAAAATCCAAATCATGAAAGTGCTCATCAGGAATATCAACAGGTTCTGCAATTTTGTGATGATCTATCAAAAATCTTAGTATGTTTGCCATTTCATTGAAGATCAAACATTAACGAACACATCGACTATTTTATTATGCCATAATACTTCTGATTGATCAACAATTAAATATACGGGTGATGTATATCATTTAGATGCACTTCCAAATATAAGCAAACCAAATATTCAATCAAAAAAGGTTTTTCATTATTTAACTAAATTTTGAGTTTAACTTCAATACCAAACATTAGTAGAAATCATCAAAAGTAAATTATATTTAGACATTCAATTCTTTAGTCTTGAAGAAGGTGTAAATTCTGACAACCTATTCCACTGATTTGTATTAAGTTAAGTTTAATTCATCTATTAGCTTTTACATTAAATTTAAATTTTCAATTAATAAATATGGTAATTACTTACTTCAACATAATTGTGATTGAACTTCATTTTAAGCAGCATTCAAAGGAATTTGAATTCTTCAATTAATTTATCATTAAATTTACTTCCATTTTAGACGGTCCAAGATTGTCTATAATTCTGAGTTAAATGCTTTTCGTAGGAATATTCCGAACAAATAGATAATCAATATTGCAGATTAATTGAACATATCCTAAAATTGGTTGTTGAGTTTGAACTGATAAATGGCATCAGATTTTGCTATTCTTCATCAATATTCCATAAAAATGTTTTTCCAGGAGGATGAATGTTTAGAAGTGTAATTTTATATGTATATGATTGTCTTTTAATGATATTCAAAAGTTTTCTTTAAATAAAGGTTAAGAACTGAGAATAGAGAAATAGAGGTGAGAGAGAGTGATAGTAGTTAGAGATGGGTGAGCAGCAGAGAAGTGGCAGAAGGAGGAAGAAATTGTATTTCTGTTGATACAAATTTAATTAACTTATGATGTATGAAGAATATGATGATTTTCCTCTTTGCTTTGAGAAGGCCATTCGTATATATTTGAATGGAGATTCATCAAAGTATACAGATTTGAAGATTGCTTAAAATACAACATGGAATGACATTTAAACACAACTAGATTAGAAATTTGGGAAATTTAGGGAGATGAGACTGTTTACACAATAGGGTGTCGAGATCTTTGATGATGATGTTAAGTTTTTTAAGGACGGATAATCTTTCTATGCATCTCGAGGAGGTATTATTAAATATTTCAATTTCAGATGAATTTGATCCTTATTCACCATTCTCATAATATGAAACAATGAAACAATTGGGAGAGGGAGGTTTTGGATGTGTGACACTGGCTAAACATAGGATTACAGGTGAATTAGTTGCGATAAAGATAATAAAAATGATAGGAAATGCATAAGACATAGAACTAAATTTTCGAGAAGCAGAAGTTCTTCGCTCTTTAAGTCATAAGAATATAGTGAAAGTGTATAATTCTTATGCATTGAAAAATACTCAAATGGCTGTGATAATGGAATATTTGGAAGGTGGTGAGTTGAGTGACAGATTGAAGTAGAAAGGAGGCAGATTTTCAGAGGAGGAGGCCTGCAAATATTTTAGATAGATAGTTTGTGCAATATCCTATTGCCATTAAAAAAATGTGGTTCATCGAGATTTGAAACTGGAGAATTTGTTATTCAGCTCAGCCGATTCGGATGAATTAAAGGCAATTGATTTTGGTATAGCTGGAATTCAATGTCCAACAAATACTGATCATGTGAATATTGGGAGTTTGCATTACATGGCTCCTGAGATTCTTGCAGGCAGAGTCACACGTGTGAGCACATCAGTGGACATATGGGCAATGGGAATAATACTGTATAAGATGCTCTTCGGAAATGTTCCATTCAATGGAAAAACTCAATAAGACATAATTAATAACATAATAAATAAGGAATTGCAATTGCCACCAAATAATTTAAGTGAAGAAGTTGTCAATTTGTTGAATCAAATGTTGGAGAAGAATAACGAACTAAGATTGCGAATAACAGATGTTGAATTTCATCCTTGGGTTAATACCGATCAAAGAACTCCTCAACGTAAATAAACATTCCTACAAATACCATCAGAAGGAAGTATTCGTAAAGCTCGACCCTCTGCTAGTCCGAGAGCTAGAAGCAAATCACCCAATCCCTCAGGCATACTTAAACATCCTAACATATTCAAATTATGAATATTCACAATTAATAAATAAATATTTAATTTTATGTTAAAATCAATAACAAGGAGAAGAAAAAAGTATATTTTCTTGGATTACTTGCTAATTTTATTTACGGCACTTTACTTAAGAATCAGAAGTGTTGACACTGATTTTTACAGTTCTCTCTAACCTAATTACTTATAGTTGTTGACTATCCTATTTGGATTAATGTTTGCCAAAATAGGTATTTATCAATTAATGGATGAAAGGCAGAGTACAATGTATCCTTATATGTGCTATGCTAAATCTATTCAGTATCTACTGTTTGAGCACCTCAACTTACATAGTTTTAGTGTCAAGCATTTATAAACTTACATATGACAGTTTGATTCTATTAGTGTTTTGTCATACTTTGAATGTATTTAGAGACAAAGGCATCTAAGTCTTGACCCATTGCTATGCTTTTGGGAAGTATTAATTAAATTCTATGAGAGTTACCTCGAAATAGTTTAGCTATTTTTTAATTTAAAATATTTCAAGTTCTTCCTGTTCATATTGATTGTCTCTCTGTCTTTGCTACGTTAAAGAGGCAGGCAATTGCCCTAGTCTGATTATGTTATTGTAATAAAATATCTGTTCACCTTTCGAATGGCAGTAATACAATCAATTATACTACTCCACGTCCTTTTAACAGTAATCAACTTAAATACTTTTGTCAATGTGGTCACATCCTCTTCGGCAAGATACATTATCCTATTGATATACCCTTTGTTTCTCTTTGCGATAGATCCGAAATTCAGAAACATAAGTGAAATAATTTTAGCACTCAATGTACTTTTGAGTTTGCTTTTATTGTTTGATTAACTGGTGATATTTTTCATGGCCTCCCTGCTTATCCCTCATATATTTGTTTTTTAATTGGCTCTCTTTATTTTTGTTTTTTCAGAAATTGACTCGAAAATACCCAAGAAACATAAATACCTAAACTATGATGCGATGATTTTAATCTATTACATCATTCTAAAGAATTCTTATGCTTATTACGATTCATATGTATAATATAAAGGTATCATCTACTTTTTGTCAATGTTTGTTGCAATATTTATTATTAGCAAGAGCAAGAAATTTTAGAAATCCTTTGCAATTAAACAGAATTATTAAAATAATTCTTATGATTAATTTGAAGGATCAAGAAATGATAATAAATTTTGCATAATTAATAATTAATGAAATTAACACAAGAAATTAAATAGTCTTTACAAAAAACTCAAAAGGTCCTTTCCATTCAAATGGATGTTCACCATATAAATGATTTCACCAAAAGGTTCAAAAAATCTATCTTCTCTGGGAGCAGATGGCAATTAGAATAATAAAACACGAAATCTATCGCCACTACATTTGAAGAACCTTTGCCTGAGGATTTACAAGAATTCATCAAAGAAAAAAACTGCCAAATCCTTGAGAAGGAAGTTAGCGTCGGATATGAAAGCATGTCATACAATGATGTCCTTCAATAATTATTGCCAAAAAATGTTTAAGCACCTTAAGGTTACGAGATTATTGGCAAGATTGCTCACTTCAATTTGGCCCCTGAACAATTGCCATATAAATATTTAATAGGCCAAGTTCTTTTAGATAAAAATAAGCATTTGTAAACTGTGTGTAACAAATTAGAAAAATTACACAACGTCTACAGAACACCCCAATTAGAATTACTAGCAGGCAATAATTCTTATGATGCTATTGTACCTGAAGGTGGTGTAAGGTTATTTTTAAATTTTGAGAAAGTGTATTGGTGTACTCGTTTGTACTCAGAAAGAGAAAGAATTATTAAATATATAAAAGAATTAGCAAATGGCAAAAATATTAAAGTTCTAGATTTATTCTGTGGAATCGGCCCATTTTCATTAAGAATTGCCAAGGATTTAAATGCTTAATGTTTGGCAAACGATTTAAACCCAGAATGTTTCTATTACTTAAAAAAGAATATTGTGGAGAATAAGGTTTAGAATCAAGTAACGCCTTTGAATATGGATGCTAGAGAAGTTGTATTGAAGATTTATAATAAGGAGATAGATTTTGATTTTAATCATGTGTATATGAATTTGCCAGTATTGGCAATAAACTTCTTGGATGTCTTCAAAGGGTTCACTTAGAAGACTGGGAAAGTTGAATTGCCATACATTCATGTATATGGATTTGCAAAGGGGAAGGACGATTAGGAGTTGATTGAACAATTTTCACTAAGAATAGTTAAGGGATTGCCTGGATTTGACAAATCTTAAATTTTAAGATTCCACGTTTTGAAGAACGTTACTAAGATGAAAAAAATGTGTTGTTTGTCTTTCTAATTGGATAAAAAGAGTGCTGAATCAGAGTTTGGTTTGGTGGAGTAAGAGGATGGAAATAACAGTGATTTTGAGGATGACGAAAAGATGGAATAAAATGAATTGATTGAGGATGTGGTAAACAAAAAAGTAAAAATTGATTGAAAATAAAATGGATTTGATGTTTAAAATCATATTATGTAAACCAATTAAAGTTGTAATTAAATCTAAAATTTATCAAATGTTATTGCCCATATTTCAATCTTCATTCTTCTAGATTGATATGCCTTCTATAACTGTCAATGTGAAGGTTTTCTTAAACAAAATGGTTATCGAAGGATTCAATGGTGGAGAGCAAAAGGTGTTGGAGTTTGTTTAAACAAGTTATTGTATTGAGTGGGATTACGCTATGTATATATAATTAAAGACAATTTAGAAGTCAGAATAATTAATTAAGTGGCTTCACATTATGTTAATATGATCAAAGACAATATTAATTCGAAGGAGAAGTGTAAAGTGTAACTGGACTGAGAAGTGTTTTAAAAGGCAAAATTGGTTTTTTCAATTGGGAAAAAGAGTTTTCCTTCTAGAAAATGATAAAGAAGACTGAGCACTGTGAAGTAACAATATTCGTTATTCTTTTAAGATTTTTCAAGTTTTACGGGGTGAAAATTTAAAAGTGATAAAAGTGCTTCAAGACAATAAGGTAAACATGTATTCCTATTAAAATATTTAGACCAATCTAGAATTATAGGTCAATCATTTATTAAATCAAAAGCCTCACGTGAATCTTCTTCACTGCGATGAATTCTACATGGACGAACAACAAATCTATTTAGTGATGGATTATCACGATTCATCATTGGAGGATTTGTAACATGAATACAGTAATAAAATAATACCCCTCAATATTATTCGAACAATCTTATAATAATTATTAGAAGGTATTTAAAATAATTATAATTAAAGGACTTAATCATTTGCATTCAAACCAAATAATCCATAAGGACTTGAAGTACGGCAATATATTGTTGACTCCAAACAAAACAGTCAAGATCTTCGATTTCGGCTTATCACAAATAGGCTAAAATACTACTATCCGATCTGGAACAGGAGGTTATTTAGCTCCTGAAGTTTTTCAGAATTAACCGATTACTTCGAAAAGTGACATCTTCAGTCTCGGAGTGATATTCCACAAAATGTTGACTGGAAAGGGGGTATTCAAAAACCTCAATGAGAACATGGCTGGAAAAATGAAGATTAGTTCTCAATTGAAGGATAAGAATGCCAAAGATTTACTATTATCAATGTTGAATTAGGATCCCGAATTAAGATTTACAGCTGAGGACTGTTTGGCTCATCCTTTTTTCATAGGGGAATACGATAAACCTTCATAAAAGTATGATGTCTATATCAGCTTATAGGATATGTCTTAGCAATTATTTGAGTCCTCTGTCTCAATATAAATTGTATCCACAGTCTACTTAAATAATTAGCTTATCTTTGTGAGTTTTCGAGTTTTCATGATTTCTATAATATATGTATACTCTTATATCATGAAAATGAGGAATTAAAGAAATATAATATATAAGGGTATGTTTGAATCAATAGTACTATAAAATTCCATGCAATACTAATCTTAAAAATATTTAAAATAATGAATTACACAGACATATTGGCCTCCAAATTTGAACCAGAAACAACAGGTACAACTATCATGGCAGTCATATATGATGGTGGATTAATAATTGGAGCTGATAGTCGAACGTCATCTGGGTAATTATCAATAAATAAACTTTCAAAGCCAATTTGTTGCAGATAGATGTGCTGATAAAATTGATTACATTCACGATAGAATATTTTGTTTGAGAAGTGGCTCAGCTGCAGACACTCAAATAATAGCCAAACACGTCAGATACTATGTTGATGCACACGCATAAGAATTGGGCAGATTGCCTGCTGTAGCCACCGCTGCAAATCTCTTCAGAAACTTCCTATATGAATACAAGGAGTATATAATTTATCAATATGCTAAGTTCGTTGTCAGCTGCCATTATCGTTGCCGGATGGGATCCATACAAGGGTCCACAGATATTCACATTGCCTTTGGGAGGATCTGTCATTGAGCAGAAATGGAGTATTGGTGGATCTGGAAGTACATTTATATGGGGATTCTGTGATTCCAATTACAAAGTATGTTGAATCAAATTATGTGTTAAGGATAACATGACATTTCAAGAAGCAAGAGCATTTGTTTTACACGCAGTAGCTCATGCCATGTTTAGAGATGGGTCATCTGGTGGGATCATAAGACTACTTAACGTAACCAAAGATAAAATCGAGCGAGAATTCATTGATTATAAAGATGTCCCAGTCAAATGAGTTTGCATTAATACATCAATATTATATTCAAGTTATTTCAATATTATGTGTCTCATGAACTCACCTAATCCAATTCTAATCCCAGCAATTATAATAGAATCTTAAAATCACAAATCAGAGTTTAATTGGGAATTCACAACAAAATTGACAGAGATTCACCGAATATCCAGGTTTCACACATCTTTAGATTACATACATATTAATTATATAAAATTAAAAAAATCAAAAAGAGTAGTTCTGATTAGATGCGTATTTTTCTTCTTAATCTGAATCTGCATCATCATATTCAACCAAATGATCTTCCATAAACTCTACCATTTCTTATAACTTCTGACTTTTATAATCTAGTAATTTACGTACTAATCCAATAAGCTATGTTTATAACAATAAATCTCAATACTTGATCATATTTTATGAATTTCCTATTTAAATAAGCAGGGTGTTCATAAATTATCTAATTCACAATGTCTTCTGGATTGGTTAGAAATATCAAGTTGTTTAACGAAATCTGATAAAGATGTTTTTTCTTCTCCTTCTAATGCTGCTTATAAACCAGTCCTATAATTGGTGGGTCAAACTTTAAAACCCACTTTATTGGTATAACTCTTATCCCAAAAGGCTCAACTTAATTCATTATATAATTATAAATATCAATTAATATGACTTCCATAAAAAACTGCATACAATATTATGTCAATCCCCAAAGATCTAAGGTTTGCTACTTTCTCTTTAAATCCAGCCCCCTCTCCTGCTTCTTGTTTCCTCAAAAATAATCAATATTTCAGTAAAACTACAGAATATCCACCAGTAGGGAGAAAAGAAATATTTTTCATTTATTCAATGTTTTTTTCCCAACTACGATATTATTAGTATTTCCTATAGACCTTGTTTTTATATTAATTTTGAATAAATTTCCATCATATTCAATCCAGAAAAAACAACTATTCTATTTACTTAATTTTACATGTATAAATTCAATAACTTATGAGATATTTTATAATCCCTAAAGTTATTTAAGAATTCCAGGAATCTAGTAATATTTCTTATTTCAGATATAGAAATAACCTTTAAAGGTTTTCATTAATTAAATGCTTTGTTTTTAGTTAAATGTATTTTCAGAGTTGCAATATCTGCCCCAATTAACACTCTCTTTTGGATCTTATTTCATCCCCATTGATATTTTCAATCTAGATCTATTGTTTATTGTTAAGAAATATTGTATTACTTAAATTCAACCCATCTCTTTGTTTCCCATATTGTATAATTTAATTTATTTTTATTTTATACTTTATTAATATAAAGTGTTTGAATTGAAATTATTAGAAGATAAAGCCTTTATATATATCTGAATCATAATCAGAAATAAAGATCAAAATTATATGTTTATATTACAATCTTATAATATAACATTAAACATTTTACTATGAACAATTGATTTATGCATATACATAAACCATTATTATTTAAAATATTATATAAACTGTAACATCATTTGATAGATGATATTAACATTGTTACTACTCATATAGAAAATAAATGCAGATTGTATTGCTAATCAATATTTGACATTTCCCAAATAAGCTGAATTAGTTTATGTAAACTTCTTTATCATAATGAATAGGCAGTTAAGAGGATCACCATAAAATTAGAGGGAGAATATATAATTGGCTATGGAGATGAATACGAAGTCAGAGACAAATCAAAAATATCACTTAAGCAGGTACCATAGGGGATAATTTTTGCACCTTCGAATTTCGAAATTTATTGTCCAGCAGTCCACATATTATCTAGAAAGGATAGCATTAAATGTGAAATCTAGTTGAATATGGACTAAGTGGATATTGATGAAACAGATCCAACTAAAACTCCACAGAAAGCTAAATTTGTCATTCCAATAGAAGTAGATAAAGATATTAAATCGAATCCAGTTTTTGAAATAGAAAATAACTTTTAGATGAGATTGATGGATTTGGCAGGATAACTAGAAAAATTAGCTTATTATCTAGAATATGAGAATTGTGACATTTTAGTGTATATTATCCCTAAGCCTTTGTCAATATCCACAGATTAAGTAACACTACTGCAAAAATATTCGAAATCCATACCTGAAGGAGCTACCGTAGAAGAAATAGAAGAATCTAATAAAGGAGAGTTGTATGTTGAAAACCTGTCCCTTGATACTAATTCAAGTACTCATCATTACGGTTTAATCGCAATTGTAATCGGAGTCATCGCTCTGGCAGCCATCAGAGCATTTAGGTATATATTACTATTAATTATATAAGTAAAAAGAAAGAGCAATAGAACAATCCTGATTAACAACCATTAAATTAACAGGAACTTCAAAACTTAAATTGAATTTATTAAATAAATAGTGACTTTAAATGAGTTCTTGTAAATTATAAAATTATTCTAAATGATAATTAGTATAAATTTAATTTGTTTACATAATTGTTTTTGTATAAAGTAATTCTCTATTCATTTTAAAATCTATTTCTAAAAATAGCAAAGTTGAATATATACTTATGTCTTGGTTAGATAAATGAGACATTAAGGAAATAGATTAATATTTATTATATGAAAAACTACTAATATTGAATTAAAGATAAATTATAAAACTATAATTATAGTGGCTAAAATTACTCTTAAGAAGGCGATATAATAAAAGTTCAAAGAGTATAAGCTGATAACCCTAACTATAACATTTGGTATTCTTTCAAAATGGTATGTAAATTGAGGAGAGATAATAATTAAATGAAACTATTTTTATTTAATAGAAATAGATTTTATAGAATATAAGTAAAATATTTGAAAAAAGCAAAGTATTATTATGCTATAAAATAAAGGTGAACTTCAATAAAATAGCAAGGTTGAGTAATCGAAAAAAATTAGTGTAAAACTGTAATTACGGCTCGATAAGGGGGATAATCAAGAATCGAATGAGAATCAAATTATATAAAGTGTCTCTGTGTATTATTAGGATCAGAAGGAAATGAATATTGATTTTGCTCAAATCAAAATGGAAAAGGACAATAACAATATATGGTTTGCTAATATTGAGATTGATCCTAATAGTGTTTACAAATACTATTACAAATTGAAATAAAAAAATAAAATCAAAAAAGAACCTCAAACAAGATATTTTTAATATAATTCGTTGGGCAGAATAGCAATAGATGAATGGAACTGTGTTTGGTGTTTGTATAGATATAAAGTGGAGGATCCTGGAATATTGGATGCTTTTCAATTAAAGATAAAGGATTATCAGAAAAAGTCATATCAAAGCATTGATCATTAGAATGAGAGTGAAGCTGGAATCACTTACATGGAGTGTTCAGAAAATCTCAAGTTTGCAGAACAATAGAAAAGATAATTTGCTTTTATATATAAAAATAATTAGGACTAAGTGGAATTGAGTAATTAATTTGATCCAAGGACAGGAAATAGTTATATGAACAATTTTGTATTGAATAAGTTTAAGGAGAGCATAATCTTAAGTAACGAATAAGAAGAGAAAATCAGATAGTGTCTCTCTTAAAAGTAAGATGTCGTTTCAACAAAAAAAAATGACCAATAATACCTATAGAGAATACAGGAATTAGAAAATAAATTTAACATGAAGGTTGTTGAAGCAAATAATTATAGATTGCAATTAGATTAAGAGACTTAAACAAAAAAAAGTTTTTAAGAAAAAATTATAAAATTGGAGTCCCATTTGAAGGATGTTGATTCGTAAAATAAAGATTTAGAGTATACTTTAGTACGTAATAAATAAATGTATGAGTATGATCTCAAAGAAATACAGTCTGAGAGTAAGTATTAGATTATGAAGAACATGGAAGAGCAAAATAAGGAATTTCAAGATAAGTTGGAATAAATCTAAAAAAGAAACAGCGAAATGTTGAAACAAGAGTAAGAGAGAATGGAACAGGATTAGAGAGCTTTGTAAATGAAATCTCAAGAAGTAATAAAACAATATATTGAAAGGCTTGATGAGGCAAATCAACAAATTAGACATCATAAATTAAAATCATTTAGTTTTTAAAGTGATGATATCATTATATCAATTGATCAATCTGAAGTACCAGATTAGTTTTAGCAAAATATTAGTGATCTAGAATCGACAATTGTATCATATAAGAATATCGAAGAAACTCTGAAAAAGGAGAAGGATGAAATTGAGCAATATTATTAGGAAAAGAATATCAAAGAAAAATCAATTTATTAAAAAAAGGCTTAAGAGTTACTTAGAAGGGGTGAATATTGTTAGAAAGAATTGGATAAATGTAAAATGTTGTTGGAATAGAAAATAAAAGAATCTGAGGTCTAGGCTGAAGAGAATAATTTCAAAGTATAACAGTATAAAGCACAGTTAAAAAAACTGAAATCACAATTTTAGCAGAAATCTTAAGATTTAGAAGTTTTTATCAAGGCTTATAAGGAATTAGAATAAAGGTTAGAAGATGAGTAATAAAAAAATATGAAGTTGAAACAAGAACTCGATAACACAATCGAATCCTCTGAAAAAAAGAGATAAGAAGAATTTGAACGTTTTTAAAAGGACCGTGAATCTGAAATGAAGTAGCTCCAAGAGTAAAGTCAATAATAATTGCTGTTGGAGAAGGAAAAGCATGAAAAACTTTAATAGGAACAATAATGCTAGCAAAAGAAGTTGATTGATGAAACTGTCCAATTTACTTATCAAAAAATAGAAGATGAAATCTTATTCCCCTATTTTGATGCATAATAGAAATTCCATGATAATCTAATTCTTAATTTCAGAAGCGAGATTAAAACTGTTATCAAAGAAAATATTAATAACTTCGAAACACCAGTCAACTAATTATCATATAGGTTATCTCAAATTGAAGAAGAAAAGTTAGAAGAATAGAAGATGGAAGCTCTTTAGAAACATGAAGATCTAGTTTAAGCAATTCAACAATTCAAAGAAGAATCAAAAATCGAAAATGCGAAGATGTTAAAATAGGCTTTCATTCAATATGCTACTGCATGCAATAAAATCTCTGATATGGCTATGAAAACAAACTTCATGAATGACTAGGATGGAGAATAAATCTACTAAATAAATCATTGGAAATCAATTTTAGATTAAAAATTAGATTCTTTACAAAGATCACTTAGTTTTTCAAATGAACTATCTGAATGGTAACAACAGTTCCAAAGTAGTAGAGAAATCATTACTAAAGCATATGAAGATTTGTAAAAGAAACAACAAAGATTCACTCAATGAGGTGACCATTACAGATTTATGTTATATTAATATCAAAATCATTTTTAATTAATTATTATTATGAAAAGTATTGATGATTATAAAAAAATAGTAATTACTTTGAAAAAGAGAGTAAAATTATTGTTATAAGAAAACTAAGATCTAAAGAGGTTATAATAGGAGAAGGTTTATGTTTATTCTGATAGATATACAGCAATTAAGTAATTGAAGAAGGCAGCAAAGAAATTGGGATTGACAACTGAGATGTTTTTTAGGGCTGCTGACACAAATTCAATGGAAATAGTCACAACTAAAAGATTGGGAGAAATATTAAAAACAGTTGCTAAACTTCATGATAATTATGTATAAGAGTTGCTAAATATATTTGATGTGGATTAGTCGGGTTCAATTACAAGAGATGAATATTATTAGACTTTAGAGATGTATTAAATCAACGAAGAGTGTGGTAGCAATTTCAATCGAAATTCCTATTCAAAGTTTATTTATTTTTTAAAAAAAGAGCAGTATGATGGAATTATAGGTTTTATAAAGATGGATCCAAATAAGTTGGGTTACATTACAAGGGAAATGTTTGTTGCATTCACTTAAAGTTTAAATAATTGGCAATAGTATTTAACATTGAGGGAAATTTATTCAGCTTATCAATACATGGACATATCAGAGAACGAGCAAATTTCAAGGGATGAATACTTACAAGCATTTGAGAAATTACCTGCAGTTCCTTAGGTTGGTAAAATATAGGAGTAGAAAATAAATGTGTTGAGAAAGGTGCTTTTGATAAAGGGAGTGAGATTGAGTAATTTTGTATTGGAATTGATGCTATCAATTAAAAAACCGGAAGATGGAATAACGATTGAAGTATTTTATAGAGTAGCCAAAGAATATTTGGATAAGAAAGAAACATTGTCATTGTTTAAGTTAATGGATTATTAGGAGAGGGGTTCTATAGATTATGATGAGATAATGAGCTTTTATTATATGACAATGAGTTATGGGGATTCATTTGAGATTGTATTTACTATTTTGGCAAGAAAATTATAGGCAATGAATATATCAATAGAAAAGTATTTGAAGTAGGAATAGATTTATGCTGAGACTCAATTAACATTGGAATAATTTAGTTCAATTGCTTATGATTTGTTTAATACTCCAAATTACGAGATCTCATCAAAGTTATTTGAAGCAATGGATCTTGATAATTCTGGAGTCGTGTCAGCTTAAGAAATCATTACTTATACCAATGATTCATTAAAAAATTATAGTTTGTTATTGAGACAGAAATCATAAACTTAAACGACTGTGATGTTTGAAGATTTTGATTCCATATAGATTGAGATTGCAAATTTAGATATTGAGGAATAATTGTTGTTTGAATTGAAAAAATACAAAACTACTTTTTCTGATAAGGATAGATTTTAAAACTTTCAATATATATTCACTAATGAAATTTCTTGTTTACTTGTGTGTTTACAAATTGTTGAGAATCTGAAATAGAACAAATAAAAATATTGGGAAGATCCTGAATTTGGATCTCATAAAATGGATCCATATGGTGCTAATTCAATTTTTAGAGTTGAAAACTTACCAATTAAAGGATGGCCAGACGCAAAAGATTTATGTTGGTAGAGGATCTCTGAAATTTGTGGTGATTGGGTTTTTATGGATGAAAATGGTGCAAATGCCAATGATGTAATCTAATCACATTATTTAGGAGATTGTTGGCTGATATCTGCATTATCAATTTTAGCTGGCAATGATAAGTATTTGGTAGATCAAACTGATATCAGCAAAGGCTTATATCCAAAGTTATTTCATTTTCTAAGCAAGTACGGAATCATTGTTATCAAATTTAATAAAATGTTTAGAGATGTTTATGTAGTCATTGATGATCGATTCTGTACATATAATAATAAATTGCTGTTTGCTGAATGTAGAAGTGAAAGAGAATGGTGGGTACAAATTATAGAAAAAGCCTATGCCAAATTGCATACTTGTTATGAATCACTTACATCAGGAGACATTTCTCAGGCCCTATTTGATTTTACTGGTATACCTTGTACAAGGCATGTTATTGATGAAACCAATATTACTAAAGATCCTGTAGAACGGAAACAATTTTTATTAAATTTGTTTGAAGTTGGTAAATAATCTAAAGCATTAATGGGATGTTCTGCTCATGGAACTGGCTAAGTGCTATTAAACAGCGAAGAAACAGGATTATACAGAGGTCATGCCTATAGTATATTGCATTACTTCCATTTAAAAGATGCTCAATCCAGAATACACAAATTAATTATGCTCAGAAATCCATGGGGATTTGGAGAATGGAAACTCAAGTGGTCAGATTATAGTCAATAAATGAATGAAAATTTTGAATTGATTCAAGCTTACTTCAAGGAGGAAATTTAAAGATGTATAAAAATTGGAGATGAACCTCCTGACCCTTATGCTTTAGGAGATGACGGTATTTTCATTATGAATTTTAAAAGTTTTCACAATATCTTCAATAATATTTTCATGAGTGTTAATTTGGATGAAACATGGTCTGTCATGAGAATTTATGACAGCTTTACCAAAGAACATTTGGGCACTCCTACTAAAAATGAAAGATCTCAAGCTCTTTATCCCTATAATAACCCTAGGTACACAATCCGAATAAATCATCCATTTCCTAATAAGAAGATTTATATTACTCTCTCACAAAGAGATGGAAGATTGGATAGATATGCTAAGTATCCTTATGAAGGCAAACTCGTTAAGATTATCATGTGCTTATTTTAACTATAGTAAAACGAAACCGAACTCACTAAATTTTAAAAGCCTGTTCATGACTCCAAATTACTTTCAGGCAGAAGAGATATAGATATGGAGGTGTTCTCTGTTCAAAATGCAACTTATGTACTCATTCCTTCAGCACATGTAATTTCTCATTAATATTTCGCAGAAACCTAATATAACTGGAGAATATGTGATTTCTATCTATTTCGACTTCCCACCTAACGGTATCATTATAGAGAGTAGTACTGATAAACAGTTCTTGTTGCAACCAAAAATATAAACATCTCTTATGCAAAATCCTACGCTTTTAAAGTTATTTAATAAACTATGAGTTCCTTTTTAATAAACAATTTTAATTTATTATATATATTTAGATTCAATGTTCTTGTTGTGTATCTAACAACTAGACTTTTTATGAAAGCGATTAATTCTTAAATTTGTATTTATTTTCAATGTTTAATATTGTTGATCAAACAATTCTATTTGATATAACAAACTTCCTAAATATTATTACAATCTTTTAGATCGTATCTTTTTATGAATTAAGATAGTTTATTATTTAATTTGAATAATATTTCCAAGAAAACCCTAGAACCAATAGAATTTGATATTTTTATAATAATATACATTTTACTATCTAATCAATTAATATTAGTTACATCAATATTAAAATGGATAAGTATGTAATCGTAACATATATATGTTTCATCTAAGATGCCTTTATAGAATATTTAAATAATCAGATAACTCATAATACAATATATGCTACTTTACAACACTTATTTCAGAGTAGTAGATTCCCTCAAAATCAAGAAGATCATTAATACTCTGAGAAATATCCAATCTATTGTTTTAGGTGGATAGAAGTAATATTTAAAAGAGGGGATTGTTTTTGATTAATAAATAAAGACAATATCTCAATATTATATATTACTAATGAGCAATTTGATTAAAATATTAGTTCATTTTTTTCTTTGTTTTAATGAGAACACACGTTTATGCATGTTTTGACTGTTTTAATAGATTAGTTAGGAATCTATGCTGTCTTTACTTTAACCATTCTAATGATTATTGGTTGGTAATGTATTCTAGCGATCCATAAAGAAATTATTTTGTGATATGATCCGTTTAAGACTCTCTATTTTTGATTATTGTGGGCTTACAATGCAATTTGGTTGAATTGGTTGAACATTTCCTAAGGAAGATTGTCTACAAAATAAATGTTATAGATTACTAAGATTTGATTCTTTTTTATAATGATGACATTTATTCAGATTGGATCTTTTATTTTTGATTGATCTAACGAGAGCCAGTGTAAGGCGATTGAGGTTTTGAGTTGCTGGACTCTTTGGGTTCTGTACTTTTCCTAATAGTCTTGAATTTTTGTAGTAATTGCATTTGTAAGGATGTTATCATGATACAGTGTTGCTTTAATACTTTGGCTTATTCGATTTTCATTTATTTTTGTTCTGATTAATCAAAGTAAAAGTCTTAAAAGATTTTGATTTCTTATTGCAATCCTGTTTTGCCCAGTAGTTTCTCTCTTGTTTCTAATTCTCCATTCATTAAATCGTTGGAATCGTAATTAAACTAGAGTTGGTTAGGTTTGAAGGGAGGTTGTACTTTTTTTAATAGAATGGACACTAGATCACAATCCTTGAACCAAGGATGAGTGAATAATTCAAGTAGCCCTTTATTGGCACAAAGTCTCTCCGATGGTTGTTTGCTCAACAATCCTTTGAGTAGATCTTTAATTTCATTTGACAAGTTTAATTTCTCTGGGAATGTGAGTTCTTCATTGAGAATGGATTCATAGATTTCTTCAGTGTCTCTAGAATAGTAAGGTGGTAGACCGGTGACTAACTCATACAACAATGCTCCTAGACAATAATGGTCCACTTAAACATTGTGACCGATTTTTAGCAGCATCTCAGGAGCCATGTATTCTGGAGATCCACAGAAACTATAGGCATAATCTTCTTCAGTCATATTGGGTTTGGATAGTCCAAAATCTGCAATTCTGATATGTCCATCAATGTCAATTAATATATTTTCAGGCTTAATGTCTCTGTAAACAATGGAAAGTGAGTGTAGATAAAACATAGCAAGACATATTTCAGTGAAGTAGAATCTGGCCTAATATTCTGTCATTCTCTTGACTTGTCTTAATTGCCAAAACAATTCACCACCACTGCAAAATTCAAGCACAAAAATAATAAAGTTCT